CCTTTGGGGAACAAACCACATCCACACCACGGCACCTGGTGTGGCATGGCACCTGTGCCCAGGATCTGTTCTCTCTGCCAGACTTTCTGTCCTGCCCGCCCTACGGCAAGCAGCAGCCCTCTGGATTCCTGCCCTGGAAGCTCAGGGCTGATGCTGAGGTCTTTGGTATCCCTTGCTCTGCCATCTTTGGTGGAGGTGTCTGTTTATCACCAGACCCAGAATCCAACAGGGCAGAGTCCCTGGCGAGAGAAGCACGCAGGGAGCGAGCTGGGTGATGTGTGCTTCCCCGGGCAGTGCAGTGACAGCATGTCCTGCGTGTGGTGCTGGCTCCCTAGGTGGTTCTTCAGAGGGCCTGAGCAGTCAGAAGGGGTGGCCTCTGATCCTGACCACGGGGACGTGGGGCTGTGTGGCCTTGGAGATTTGAGTAACTCAGAGTTGGTTTCCTCAGGAAGTGGGGATGCCTGTCTGGCAATGAGAGGTGCTGAGGTGGGCCTGCACAGTCACGTGCTGACCCGCTGTGGAGCCTGGTGCACGGGTCCCTCTTTACTCAGGGCTCATGGAGTCGGTTTTTGGGTGAATGTGACCATAAGCCTGAGAGCAAGGTAGAGTTCCTCTTTATTTTGGGCAGTCCTGAGTGTCTTAGAGTCAGTTTGATCTGATGTCATTAGAGCCACTTAGCTCTTTTATGGCGTAATTGTCATTTTTGTTTTAGTCGACTTTATATTTTAAAGACATTAAGGAGGGCTGAGGTTGTGGCTCAGTGGTGGAGTGCCAGCTTGGCATGCATGGGGCACTGGATTTGATCCTCAGCACCACATAAAAATAAAAAGATATTGTGGCCACCTAAAACTAAAAAAGAAATGAAGAGGAAAAAAGCTTCCTATTTCTGCCATTTCCAATATTCACTATTCTTTTTTTTTTTTTTTTTTTTTTTAGTTGTAATTGGACACAATACCTTTATTTATTTTTTTATGTGGTGCTGAGGATCGGACCCAGGGCTTCACGTGTGCTAGGCGAGTGCTCTACCACTGAGCCACAACCCCAGCCCAGGATTTTACCTCTTGACCGAAGGTCTGCTGGTCATAAAATTCCCTCAGCTTCTGTTAATCTGAAAACATCTTCATTGTGCCTTCCTGCCTCTATTCTGTGTGTGTGTGTGTGTGTGTGTGTGTGACGGGGAGAGTTACGGTGCTTAATCACTGAACCACGTCCCCAGCCCTTTTTATTTCTAGTGTGAGACAGGGCCTTGCTAAGTTTCTGAGGCTGGCCTTGAACTTGCAGTTCTCCTGTCTCAGAGTCCCAAGAGGCTGGGATTGCAGGCGTGGCCACCATGCCTGGCGCCCACTGTTTTGTTAAAGGGCATTTTCTCTGGACTCAAGAGTTCCAGGTTGACAGGCTCCGGACGTCTAGAAAGCCCTCTTTGGCCCACCTTGCCTCGAGCAGCAATCAGTGCTCAGTTACTCCCCACAGCTGTCCCTGTGAGCTGACCCCTGAGCTGAGCTGTCTCCTTTCTCCTTGAAGGTTTTTTCTTTATCTTTGGTTGCAGCACTTTGGCCATTGTGTGGTTTTCCTTTGTGTCACCCTGTTTTGAGGCTTGGTGAGCTTCTCTGCTCTGTGAGATGGTCATTTTCTTGCCATTTCTCTTTTTACTTTCATCTTGTTTTTTTCCTCTATGCAGTTCCTTTTGAGTGATTTCTTCTACCGTTATCTTCAAGTTCATCACTCTTATGTTTAGTGTTCTAAAGTCTGTCTAAGGAAATTCTCATCTTGTATATTTTACTTTAAAGTTCTAAAGTTTCCATTAAAAAAAAAATTGTTTTAAATTTTTTGCAGTGTTGAAGGTCAAACCTAGGGCTTCACTCATGCTAGACTATCACTTTACCACTGAGCTACATCCCCATCCCTACTTTTCTGTGGCTCCCTGGTTGGTGTGTGTCCAACCTGTCTTGTTTGGGGTCTGTAGTGCTTCTGATATATTGATATGTCTGCTTTCTTTTTGTAACATTCATTCATTCATTCATTCATTCATTTGCAATGGTGAGGAATATGTCTGGTTTGAAACATTTTTTCATTTTTTACTTTTTTTTTGTACTGGGAATTTAACCCAGGGGCAGTTTACCACCACTGAGCTACCTCCTCAGCCCTCTTTATTTTTAAATTTTGAAAGAGGGTCTTACTACTGTATTTCTTTTCTGTATTTTCCCTTCCTTTTGTCTTCTCATACTCCAATCTGGATGTTTTTTTTCTGAATAACACTTTGTTTACTGATTCTGCCCAGGAACTGCAGCGGCTGGAGACAGAGTTGGGTCGACCCCCGGAGCGCTGGAAGGACACCTGGGACCGAGTGAAGGCTGCGCAGCGCCTGGAAGGCCGGATACATGGACGTGTGAGCAGGAGTGGGCATGGGGGGCTGGGGGGAGGGGGCCTGTGCAGGCGGCGCAGGCCGCCTAGCCCTGATGCCAACCCCTCTCCTATCTCCAGGGCACCCCCAGCTCCTTACTTGTGTCCAGCGTGCCCCACCACCGCCGCTCGCTGGGCGTATACCTGCAGGAGGGGCCTGTGGGTTCCACCCTGAGCCTCAGCCTGGACAGTGACCAGAGCAGTGGCTCGACCACGTCCAGCTCCCGCCAAGCTGCCCGCCGCAGCACCAGCACCCTGTACAGCCAGTTCCAGACGGCCGAGAGTGAGAACAGGTCTGAGAGGCAGTGGGAGCTGGGGCCTCGGATCCCAGGGATGCCTTTGAGGAGTTACTTCTTTGGGTGGAAGGTCTTAGGGGGAAACCATGTGGTGGCCCAAGGCTAAGGGGCTTGAGATGTAGATCCACAGACTTGAGGGCTGGGGGCAGGGACCAGACGAGGTTGAAGCCCTGCAGAATCCATCCCACCCCTTGTGCCTGGGGTGCCCCTTTGCTGTTACCCTGTGTGTGGCTGCTTCCCTGAGACCCCAAGACTGGTGTTGTGGGAGGACCCTCCATCTCTTTTCTGAAGATAGTCGTCCTTCTGGGCCAGTTTTGTAGGATGAGGGCCCTGGTCTTACCCAGGTGGGGGCAACTGCTGGGGCCTAGGCTTAGCTGGACCCTGACAGCCAGCCTGGCCCTGGTCCTGCTGCCAATGCAGGTCCTACGAGGGCACCCTGTACAAGAAGGGGGCCTTTATGAAGCCCTGGAAGGCCCGCTGGTTCGTGCTAGACAAGACCAAGCACCAGGTGAGTGAAGAGTGGCGGGAGGAGCCTGGCGGGGACAGGCCACCCTGACTGTGACACACACACCCCCCCCCCAGCTGCGCTACTATGACCACCGAGTAGACACCCAGTGCAAAGGTGTCATCGACTTGGCGGAGGTGGAGGCTGTGGCACCTGGCACGCCCACCATGGGTGCCCCTAAGACTGTGGACGAGAAGGCCTTCTTTGACGTGAGCCTCTGCCCGGGCTTGGGAGGTGGGAGGGAGGACTCTCCACAGTGGTAGCGGCCGTGGAGTCAGCCACCACCCTTTCCCAGGTGAAGACCACGCGTCGCGTTTACAACTTCTGTGCCCAGGATGTACCCTCGGCCCAGCAATGGGTGGACCGGATCCAGAGCTGCCTGTCGGACGCCTGACCTTCCTGGCCCTGCCTGGGCTGCTCTGCTTCCAGTCATTACAGACCACTAGGGGTGGGCAGGGCCGCCCCGGCCATGTTTACAGCCCCGGCCCTCGACAGTATTGAGGCCCTGAGCCCCCAGCACTTGTGTGTACAGCCCCCGCCCCGCCCTGCCCGGCTGGCTCTAACTTATTGTTGTGTCATGGCTGAGTGCCGTGCCGGGTCGCGGCCATGGTACAGCCCTCCAATGGGCCTGTAAATAGTCCACCCCTGCCCCGCCCTGTTGGTGTGCTGGCCCCGGCCGGCCAGCCACAGGTGAACTGTTTCTAGAACCAGAGTCTATATATAAAGAGAGAACTAACGGCTGCTCGTGTCCCTGCTCACCCACGCCCCTCCAGCCAGTGGTCCAGTGCCCCGCATGCCCTTGGCCTTGCTCCATCCCTGGGTCTACCACGTGGGTGGGGAGGCCGCAGCTTTCTTGTGAGCCTTTCTTGGTGCCGGGCCCACTCACCTCAGGGTCCATGGTCTGGGAGCAGATCTGGTCTTGGGAGGGTGGCTTAATCAGGACCTTGCTTGATGTGTGGACCCTGATCCCTGAGGCCTCAGGAGTGGGCCTGGGGCTGGCATCCCAGAGGGAAGGCCCCTGTCCCTATCTTAGCAGCCCTGGGACCAAGGTTAGCAACAGGGAGGCTGGGTCCTATACAGCGGGTGTGGGTCTGTGGGAGGGACAGGGGAGAGTGGGCTCCCAGGAGTTGAAGGTCCTCAGGCAGAGTGAGGGCTGGGGCCCACAGGGACCTTGGGGTCTCAGTTCTTGGGGCTCTTGCTGCCAACGCCCACCCTGCCTGAGGTCCCCTCTCAGGCTTGGTGATCCCTGCTGCTGGGGGGGTTACTCTTCAGTTGACCAAGTCCCATCAGGACCAGGTTTACCACGGGACCACTGGGGCCCACCCAAGATGGGCAGAAGGGGGTGGACGTTGCAAAGGTTGAGGCAACATTTGAGTGGCCGCTGTGTTGGGTGATGGTCTCAGGTGGTGGCGACTGTGGCCTGATCCGAGGGCTGGTGGTGTGAGACCAGCCTGTGGCTTTAGTGCTCATGGAGCAGCTCACCTCTTACCAGGGAGGTGGAGGCACTCAGTATCTCAGCACTCAGAGGGTGAGGGGCTGAGCCACTGCTGGGAGAGAGCTTTACTCCCAAACGAGGGCAGGTTGGGGGGGGGGTACCGGCATCCTCTGCCCACCTCTTGGGGGTCGAAGGAGGTTGAAGTGTGTGACGTAAGCTTCAGATAAAGCTCTTAATTTCTGGGGGAGAGGGCTTAGTAGATTCTGTGGTGCGAATACTCCACCGCTGGGTGTGGCCTGTCCCCCACCCTCATCTTACAAGGGGCCCCCACTCCAGGCTTGCAGCTTAACCACACATTGGCGTGTCAGTAAGAATGACATGACTTTTATTGGGGTCAGGGGCTTGGGGTGCCCTGTCAGATGATCAGAACATTAAAAAATAATTCAATGTAAAATAACCTTTCAGAACCCTCCAGGACAACAGTGCAGTCCACCACTCACCAAGCCCTCACACCCTGCTGTGCCCATTCTACATGCCTGAGGTCAGTTCTTGCCAGGCACCGCCCACCCCCCCACCCCCAGGGTGCTGGCCTGCCCTGCTGGCCCCAGGGGACAAGCCCACCAGGCCCAGAGGGTCTTTTTTTTTAAGGCAGTCAAAAGTTGTAGCCTGGTTAAGATGCCTGATGCCAGCTCCTAGGGCCATCAGGCAGCAGCAATCTTGGAACCTGACCCACGTTTGTGGAGGTCAGGCCTCCCCAGCTCAGGCCCTCACCTCTGCCCTGAGCCAGGAGAGACCCTGTGTTGGAGCTGGATACAAAGTGCAAAAAAACTCCACTCTTCCTGCATGCGTTAAAAAGGATCGGTGAAAAGAGCCTTGGCGTCCACCCCTCCTGCCCTTCCAAGTCCTTGTGGCACGTCAGGGTCTTGCCCCCAACCCCAGCTCCTGCAGGCAGCCATCATGTCTGAGACCTTATTGCTGTGCTGGGGCCTGGACCTGGGGGACGGCCAGTGTGTCCTGTCCTCCAGCAGGGCCCGAGAGACTCTGGGTCAGGCAGGAGAGACACCAGCTGGGTTGTCCGACTGGTTCCAACTGCCAGCTTTACCAGTGCAGCATTTATTTTAAAATTAAATTAAATTAAATTAAAAAAAAAAAAAAAAGGAGAACAAATTGCATCACCAGGTAGTTTTCTTGATTAAGGATGCAGCCTGACCAGGGTGAACCACGGCCAGTGGCAGCAGCGTTACACAGGACCATTTAAGGCAGCTCCTTCTGGTGGGGCGTCAGTCTTCCTGCAGAGACGGGGGCAGGGCTGGAGGTACTTGGGGCCTGCAGAGCCTGTCCTTCCCCACCCTGTGCCATGCCCCACCTTCTCACCTGTCTTTTGTTGCTGTCCCCATGGTGGCCACTGTGGCTGGGGCTGCTGTGGGGACCACCATGATGGGCCCTGGGGGCACTGACACAGCCACTGCAGGAGAGACCACTGGGGCAGCCATGGGAGGACTTGCTTTGTCGAGTGCAGTGGCCGCCACAGTGGCCTTGGGAGGTGTGGCCACAGTTGGGGTGGAGGTTGCTTCTGAGGGCACGAGGCAGGCAGGCCCCAACGGTGTGCTGTTGGCACACTTGGCTCTGTGGCAGGCAGATGGGCTCCAGTTACTCACCAGTGCTGCCCGGCTTCATGCACCCAAGGATCAGCAGGGTGGACCTCTCTAGAAAGTGGCCTGGGATCACGGCCCTCAGCCCCCTCCCACTCCTGCCCTCAGTTGGGTGGCCCAGCCAGTCAGCTCTGATGCCCCATTTCCAAATAGCGATCTCCATCCTCCCTCAAGCAGCACTCAGACCTGCTAGTTATCAAGTGTCTCGTTTTCCCAGAGCCCAGGATGCCTCTGCTACGCGATTTTCACTACAAACTTACACTGGGCTGGGGGTGGGGAGGAGGAGAAAGGGTCCTGCTGGGCTTTGAGGAAACCTACTCTGGGGAGGTCTAACAGCCCCTCAAGGTCTGGGCAGGCCTCCTGCAGGCTCAGGGCACGGGGCATCTGACCCAGGGAGGGGCACTGGTGGGGTGGAAAGGTGGCTGCCTGCACAGGACACCTGCATGCCACAGCAGATTTAAGTGCTTTTTAAGAAAGCATTTAGGAAAAGAATAAAAATTTTTAAGAATTTCAGTGATTGATTCTAAACTTTTAAGAAGGAATTAAAATCAGGCTTTCCTGTGCCTTGCTGCAAGGCCCCAGAGGGCAGGGTGTGGGCCCAGGGGTTCTGTGAGCCTTGGCTGTACACTCAGCTAGGGAGTGAGCTGTAAGCACAGAGCTACGGGGCTGATGGGATGGCTGGGGGAAACATCCCAAGCCCACCACCACAGGAGCCCCAGCCACTAGGAAGCTGCGGGGCGGGGGGGGCAGGCTGGGATCCAGGGCCTAATGTCCAGGCACGCTGGTGAGGTGCTTGGGCAGTCAGGCCACAACAAGAAGACCCAGTAGCTCACTGGTGCCATTGCCATCAACGCCAAGTTTTCCAACCAGGTGCCATCATGAGTCTGCATCTTGTCCCTTCCTGTGGGATCTAACCCCAGGGTCATCCCCCACTACAGCCTAGACCTACCAGGAGTCCTGCCTTGACCTTTGCACAGAGATGGCCCATTTCCAGCTTCCCACAGTTCCTTATGCTCACACACCCCCAATCCTCTGCCCAAAGGCCAGCAGGGGCTGTTGGCTGGTGGATTCCAGTGACCTTGTGAGGGCAAATGCATAGGGCTGGGCTTGCTGGAGGGGCCAGTGGGCTGCTGGCCTCTTTGCAAAGAGGACATCCTTGTCCGTTTCCTCCAGGGAGGGCTGCTCTGGGGCACCTTGAGGGAGCCTCAGACTCTCAGCACCTCCCAGTCAGGGCTCCACCACCCCAAGTGCAGTCCTGAGATAGCCCATGTTACTGAGCATCCATGTCCCCAAGTGAGGCGGGCATGCATCCAGGAGTCCGCACAGGACGGCCCAGGAGTGGGCAGCAGGCAAGGTCTGATTGCAGACACATTTGCCTGCAGCAAGTTAAAAACTGCATGTCTCCCTCCTGCCTCTCTCGATCTGAGACAACCGGAGTATTCTCTGCAACTGAGGTTTCTGGGACATCCAGGCCCTGTCTTAACCACACAGCAAATGGACTCTTACTATGTAAGAGACAGAAAGAGGTCCCCTGCCCTCTGTCCAGCCTCCATGTCAATGCTGGGTGCTGCTCCCCTACAGCCGGCCCCTTGGCCTGCCCCCCGCCCCACTCGCTCCCAGGGGAGCCAACAGCTGATAACCAAGAAGCCTGGTGACCATCCTGGAAGCCATGCAGTGAGCACCAAGGCCCAGGCAGACCTGCCGTCCCCTGCACACCTGCCAACAGCAGCTGCCTCTGTCCTGGGTGGCAGGAATCCCTCTCGGCCTGGGCCTGTGCTCACAGCTCCCATAGTGCCAGCCACCTTCTGCTCATTGTCCTCACCATCAGAGGTCACCAGGGGGGCCTTCCCGGTGACACACACGTTCCATGCGCAAGGGGAGGCAGGACCAGCTGCAAAGCAAGGAGGCTGCTGTGACCATGAGGCTGGGGCCACAAGGCTCACTGGGCACAGGTGGCAGAGGCATCTGGCGTGGCCCCAGTGCTTTACCCGTACGTGTGTGTCCTGCAAGGGTCTGTGTGCACAGGAACCACCTGCACTGCTGTGTGCCCCCACGTGGACTGTCCCCCACCCTCTAAGTCAGGGTGGATGTGAGACTCAGGGAGGGTCCCATTCAGCCTCAGTTGGTTCTGGCACCATGTCATTCAAGCCTGCACACAGGACAGAAGTACCAGGCAGTGCCTGCCTCTGCCTGAAGTTCTCGGGCATCTTCTCAGGGAGCTTTTGGGTTTATCCTACCAGAGGAAGAAGGGATGGGGCCAAGGCCTCAGATCAGGCTCCAGGTTGGCTTCCTGCCCTGGCCCAGCCACATGCCGCTTCATGCCAGGACCCTAAAGTTGCTGCCTAAGGTGCACATCTGGGTCATGCAGACTACAGATCTGGATGTGGGGGAAGCCCAGGGGCCTCACTGCTCCAGCAGGGGCTGTCCACTGGTGGATTCCAATGACCTTGTGAGGGCAAATGCATGGGGCTGGGCTTGTGGAGGGGCCAGTGGGCTGCTGGCCTCCTTGCGAAGAGGACATCCTTATCCCTTTACTCCAGAGAGGGCTGCTCGTTGTCCTCACCATCAGAGGTCACCAGGGGGCCTTCCCGGTGACACACGTTCCAGGCACGAGGGGAGGCAAGTACCTCCATGTGCACACGGCAGTGTTGACCCCACAAGTTTATCACCACTGAGATAGGGCCTGGCCACTGCCTCCCACTGCCCCACAGTGAGGGCCGCCCTGGCTCAGCCTGGGGCTGCATGATGCCAGGCCCCCACAGGAGCCTGGGGTGCTGCCGATTCTACTCACAGGATGTCCCTGGGTCTGGGCTCTGGCCTGCCTCCACATGGCTATGGTCCACATCCACGGGACTGCTGCACCTAGGCCCTGACTCGGAGCTGCAAATGAGGATGAGGACAGGCTGAGTCCTTGAGGTCAGCCGCACCCTGACCTCCAAAGGCAGTTCTTGGCATGACCCCACACTTTGATGTGTTCATTACCAGCAGAAAGGCTGGAAGTCGGTGAACTTGGCCCAGCCCTTCTCCTCTGGAGTGGAGGTGCTGGCCGCCCACACACTGGAACCCACGTCCTTCACAGCTCTGGGGGCTGGGGTCGTCGGGTTCCCTGGCTCATCAAACACTGCTGTCCATGCAGCACCTGCTGGAGAGAGTCACAGTGGTCAGACACAGGCAGGCCTGGTGTGCTGTGAGCCAAGGCAGGCCATGTCTGCACCAGGGGCTCCCCTGGGTTTGGAAGGACAGAGGTGCTCCCAGGAAGGAGACCCTAACCCTGAGCCTTCCCTGCCTGAGGCACATGAGGAAACAGTACTCAGCAGACCCAGGGACCCGGGAGGGACTCTCCACCAGAGAGCAGCTGGCCTCAGGCCCTGGGACACCCCTATGCCTACTGATATAGTTCTCAGCAGGGCACCTGGAGGACCCTCCAGGGGACCTGATGGGTGCACGGAGGTGACATGGTTGCTCCCATGCTCCATCCACTGTCCCAACCCAGGGCAAGACTCAGCGAGGCGTGGCAGGAGCAGGGTACCACTGCCCTATCCCTGGCCTTGGCACAGTGCCTTCCTATCCTGGGTATCCCTGCCTTCAGCCCACTGCCCTTGCTTTTAGTATCCTCAGCTAAGGGGCCAGCACCACCCGACAAGAGTCCTGAGCACCTTGGCAGTGTCCCGGGGGCAGAGGTGAGCAGAGGTCTTGAGAGGCGTGTGGGGTTGTGCCACTGAATGTTTCTGAGGGGGTGATGGGGCTGTGTCCAGGCACTGTCCAGACTGTTGGGGAGGGCCTTTCCCAACAGACTGGGTGGACACCAGCCCTGCAGATGTGGTCACATGAGCACAACAGATGGGACGGCGAGACCACCCATGCTGTGCAGCATGAGCCAGCCCTCACCCAGGACAGCGGGGAAACAGCATGAGAGCATGTGCAGCCGGGAACGTGCGGGCTGCGGGCTGTGGGAGACACGGGCTCCACAGGAAGCCCTGAGATGTGCATGCCACAAGCCACACCTGTTCCCCACGCCCTATCCCTGGTGAGCCCCCTGTGCTACCTTCTGAGGCACTCTCCGAGGGGGGACCTCCGTTCTGCGCGGGGGGCAGGAGGATGCCTGCCCTAGGCGCGGTCCTGTCTGCCTCGGAACCCGCCTTTCTGTCCTGGCCTCCATGCTCCAGGGCGTTCTTTGAGCAGTGTTCTGAGGTGTGGGGGGCCCCAAACCTGGTGGGGGTGACAAGGCGTAGTCAGAGAGCTGGTAAATGAGCTCAGGCTGCCCAGCAGGAGCCTGTGTGGCTCCAGTCTCAGAGCCCTCCTGGCCCACCTCCCGATCCCAAACTCTGTGAGAAAGGACAGTGTCCAGCGCAGGCTCACATGCCTGCCCTCATCTTGTGAAGGACCTGGGGGGCTGGGCAGGTCCCGCACCTGGCTCTGGACACCACCCGGGCAGTGCAGCGAGTCTCCTCATCCTCCCAGATGTCCTCCTCCTCATCGTCATCAAAAGGCTGGATGCGGTCACTACAGCAGGCTTCAAACAGAGCTGCGCTGGGCTGTAGGACAGAACAGAGACCAAGCTCTGTGCGCCCGGGGCAGCCTTGGCCCCACCTGGCTCCCAGAGGGCTGTCTCACAGGATAGGGGAGCTCTGTTCTGGGCTTTATCGAGGGGACCCTCTTTGCCCTGACACAGTCACCCACAGCCTCATCCACCCAACTCGGGGACTGAGCACAGCCTAAGCTGTCTAGCAGGACGCAGCAGGGCTGCCCACCAAGCCCAGCAGCCCCTGTCACTCACGCTGTCCTCGTCGGCATCAATGCTGAAGTTGATCTCTGCAATCCTGTCAAATGGGGCGCTGCAAGACAAGGGGCACCCTCAGCACCTCTGCCACTGGCGTTGGTCCAGTGGGCCTGGGTGCCTGGTGCCTGCAGGGTGCGGGGGGACAAGCCATGGGGAGCGGAGATGGCGCCCACCCACACGCGACGCCAGGCTCACTTGATGTTGTCATCCTGGTCTGCAAACTCCTCATCACTGAAGCCAAACTGATCCACGAAGTTGGCTGTCATCTGCTGGATCTGGTACTCGGAGAAGGCCTGCGAGCAGGACAGGCCACTGAGGAGCAGGCCTCGCCCTGGAGGCTGCTCCTGGGAAACCAGAGCGCCTGGAGCTCAGGAGCCTCTGGCAAAAGCAGCCAGTGCCTCTGGCTGTCTGGGCTCGAGCTGTCCAGAGTCGTCTTGGCCTCGTGCTTCACTCAGGTTCGGCGCCCCCAGCGGTTGCACCAAACCGATGGGCCTTTGGGGTGCCCCAGACCCACCTCTCCCCCACACGTGCTTGGGGATGAGCCACCACAACCCTTTACTATGAGGTGCCATCAGGGACTAAGCGCTACCACGGGCACGGGCTCTGGGAAGGGCCCGGCAGGGTGCAGAGTGCCGGCCATGCCCTCACCTGCTGAAGGGACAGCTCGTTAGGGAAAGCACCCTCAACGTCCTCGTCCTCACTCGAGGAGTGAAGGTGGTGAGCGCTCACCTAAAACACAGGCCAGACGGGGTGGGCAAGTGAGCTGCCCGGGTGCCCCAGATCCCGCCCAGCCCAGCCAGGGTCCAGCCTGGCACTTGTCTGCTTTCTGGGCCTAGGAGGCTGTGCTGTGAGGGAAGACCAGAGGAGGCTGAGGCCCAGGGCTGCCCGCTCCTGTGCACTCGTGCACAGCGTGCTCCAGCACCAGGAACCCTTCCAGAGGAGCCTCCGCTCCTGACACGGGATGGGGGCCTCAGAGGTCAACACAGAAGCCCTGAGGAGCCAGCCTGGTGCCGCAGGGGCGGAGCCTGTGTCAGACAGCAGGCCGGACCCCAGGCCACATGCTCATGGTCACACATGGGCACATGCATGTGAGACGAGCAGCTGAGCATGTGGCCCAGGTGCAGTGCTGTCCTGGCTCCCCCCCCCTGCGGCAGGGCAGAGCACCAGGACATCTGTCCTCAGCTGTGGCTGTGTGGCTGTGTGGCAGCAGCAGCCTGGGCTTCTCACCAGGTCCACGGTGTTCCTGCGGTTGGTCTCCGTCAGCGTCTCCTCTACAAAGCTTTCCCAGCGTCCACGGCAATCTGCAGGAAGCCCTGTAGGGAGAGTGCTGCCTGGTGAGTCCCTGGAACGGTGTGAACAGCGCCAGCACCCAGGTCCAGGACAGCAGGGGCACCCTGGTCCAGGGAGGGATGGGCCGTGCTTCTCTGGCCAGCCCCCGAGAGCTCAAAGCTGGCCTGGGAGGAGGCCAACAGAGCTGTGTGTGGTGTGCGGTCCTGCAGGGCCACGGGCCCAGTGAGCCTGGGACGCAGGAACCCTCAGCAGGGCAGCCGTGACTTTCTGCAGGAACCTCAGGGGCGTCCCGGCTGGGAGCCGCTGGCTGGAGCCTGAGCACACAAACCCTGAGTGGGGTCTGAGAAGGCACGTCTTGGTCTGCACCCCTCCTGGGCTCTGCTCAGCAGTGTCCTACAGGCCTGTATGAGAGTGTGTTTTCCTTGGGAGGCTGAAGCCCCAGGCATTCGTGATCTGAAGACAGTGAGGAATGACAGGCCCAGAGTTTCTCCTCTGCCCCCATCTCCCTTCGTGGCCCCATCCTGGGGAGTGCCTGTCAACACCAAGCCACACCCCATTTGTTTCGCCCTACAGTTGCAGGGGGATCTCCCCAGGCTTGCTGGCCCCTCCCGAGGACCACAGATACTCATCCCATGCTACGGTGGGCCAGCAGGCTCAACCTCAGCGGAGGCGACTGCAGTATGGTTGAAAGACTACCCCCTCTGGTCCTGGGGGCAGGGAGCACCACCTGAGCTTTCTCACCTCACACCTTCCCAGGAGGCCAGTCAGAAAGGCTATGAGCAACACCTCCTTGGCCACATGTGCTGGCACACCTATCTCATCTATTATGCCCATGCCCAGCCCTATAGTCCTCCCCAGGACAACCAGGCCTCCCAGACTCCTGCCAGCAATTCAGGGTGCTGATTGGAGCTGATGCCCCTCCATGCACATGCCATTCCTGGGCATCTCCAGAGCCACCTGCCTAAGCATGCCTCAAGGAAAGTGGGCACATCCCAGTCAACTTTGCTGGGCCCCCTCTCAATGCCCCACCCAGGTTCTCAGTTGTGCCCTCAGGCTGGATGACAAGAGTCCACAGCATGGAGATGTGGATGTGGCCACCGAGTCAGACCCCGTGCTCAAGAAAGGCAGGAAGGAACACCTTGGGGGCTGTACCCAAGGGTTCTGGGGTGCACAGCACGGCTGTGACGGGGCTCTGCTGATCTGCCACCCCTGCAGGGCTGAGGCTCCGGCAGGCTCAGTCCCCACGGCCTGCTTCTAGGGAACAGGATGCCACCTGATCGTCTCCCCTGAGACTCAGGCTTGGAAGCCCTCCAAGCCCACAGGACCCGAGCAGAGCTGTAACATGGACAGGAGGTCGGTCAGCAGGGCTCTGATGGCATGTGAGCGGCAGGTCTGAGCACCAATACTGACGGAGCCGAGTGTCCTGACCTCTGCTCAGGAGCTGACAGGCCTCCACAGAGTCTGACCAGAGTGCACTCCTGGGTCCACCCGAGGGAGAACACCGTGAGGAGCTAAGAAGACAAAGGTGGTGGCACCACCCATTCTGTATCAGTGCAGATGCCACCTGCTGGGGACAGAGGGAAGAGGGTGGCAGGTGGCAGGCTCACCTCGGATGACCTCACTGATGTGGGTCTGCACAGGCCCCCGCTCCAGGTTCTGCACCACTGCATTGGCGATGCGCGTGAGGTGGCCCATGTTCCCACGCCTCATGCCACCTGCCGCCCTGAAAGTGACAGGGACAGTCAGGGTGGCCCCCCAGCAACAAGGATCTTTTGGAGCTCATCTCCAATGTTACCTCCATCCCAGTCCTCACATCCCCTAGGGTCAGTCCAGGTTGACCTCCAGGGCGTCTGCCTGGCCTGCCCAGTGCCTGAAAGCGTCCTCACCTCCAGGACACTGGTGTGGAGAGAGCCTGCCACGCCTAGCAGGCCCATCCCATCTCACCACCATGAGGAGCCGGTGAGACAGACCCTGCTCATTTGGGGCATGAAGACCAGCAGGAAGACCCTAGTGTGGGTCAAGGCCCCCAGAGGCCGGCCGAGCAGGAGCTGAGCGTACTGGTGGCCACAGGGCTCAATGGGGCACGTGGCTCTGCGAATGCTGCTGCTGCTGCTGGCCTGGGCAGGACCTCCACACCACGCTGACCACACGGCCCTGGCTGGCCCACACGCAGGTGTAGACCCCTCCCAACTCCCACGAGCCCCATCCCACACTGCCCAGAGCACACCTGTACCAGCAGGACAGGGAATGTAGGAGTGGCCCTGGGCCCTGGACAACATGCAGGTCATTGCTGCCTGAACTGAAGGAAGACGTGGTTAAGCCAAGACTCTGGTTAGAAATGTGTCCCTGGGTGTGAGTGCCAACAGAGTGCCTGGGCGCTGGGGAGGGTGAGGAGTGGACAAGGGCACGAGTGCACAGAGTCTGGGCAGGGCAGGCTGCGCAGAAGCTGCAGAGATCCGGGGGCCTGGCTGCCACTTTGCCTGCCCCTTCCTGCCACCTGCCACCTCCCTGTGTCCTCCTTTCCCAGGCTGCCCTAATGGCTATTTGCCCAGAAGCAAGATCCCTTCCAGGACAGCAGTAGACACAGGGCCCTGACACACCCCGCACCAGGCCTGGAGCTGCCTGCACCCCAGGGAGCTGTGGCTCTGCGCCCCGACCTCCAGGCAGGCCCAGGACGCTTACTGTGCATGGTCATTGGCTTCCCAGGCCTCCAGGATCCTCTGCACCAGGCAGCACTTCTGGAACAGCTGGGGAGGCAGAGGGCAGGCACGTGAGTGGGGGCCTGCAGGGATGCACAGCCCCCTCCCCCCGGTGCTGCAGGCAGCAACAGGACCTGTGGCTGGACACCTCACAGTCCTAACTTCCGTGGTCCCTGCCCAGCTGCAGAGGCAGGTGCTGCCCCAGGGTCTCAAGACCTCCCCCGCAAGATCAGCACGAGAAAGGCTCCTCTGGTGCCCTCTGCCTGCCCTCCCACGGGCCTCCCCTGCTGCTCAGGCCCTTCACTCTGCCCGTGGCACCCTCCCTTCTGCTTCCCAGAGTGCAGGAGGAGCGCCTGGCATCTTAGCAGGGCCTCGCCCTGGGCCAGGCCTCCTGACCTGGGCTCCCCTGTTGGCCTCCATGGCTACTGGACATTCCACCCCACCAGGCAGCTCTCCTCACTGGAACTGCCTGCCCACTGGCTGTTTATCCAATGGGCCATCAGCTATAGGCCAGACTGGACCCTGTGGTCCAGGGCTGGCCCCCAGCCAGCCCTGCTCAAGCCCACCATCTGTGAAGCTTGGTGAGACCCAAGGCCCCTTCCCCAGCCTCTGCAGTGTGGCCCCGGTGACCCCACCCTCCTGAGCAGGTCCTAGTGGGAACCTCTTTAGGCTCCCAACGCCAGTTTGCTTCCTCCCTCCCTCCATGGCAAGCTCACACCAGGCTCCTCTTTGCCAGGGGTGATTCTGGATGCTGAGATCAGAAAGAGGAGGAGACACAGACTGCCCCAGGCCCTGAGCCCCAGGGAAGCTGAGTGAGCAGGGATCCAGTGGGGAGGGGAGCCTGTGGGGAGGGGGAGCCTGTGGGGGAGGGGGAGCCCGTGGGGAGGGGGAGCCCGTGGGGAGGGGAGCCTGTGGGGGAGGGGGAGCCTGTGGGGGAGGGGGAGCCTGTGGGGGAGGGGGAGCCCGTGGGGGAGGGGAGCCAGCAGGCTGAACTGGACCATAGGCCTTTCCGGGAGAGGCTAGCACTTGCACTGTCCTCTTCATTCTGGTCAGACAATCTGCACTTACACAGGTGGGTCTGCTTCTTGGTGACCTCCCTAGGACCACAGCCCATGGCAGCAAGAGCACGGTACAAACGCTGCTTTTCCTCGGCTGTCCCTCACTTTCTCTGTTCCCAGTTCTGTGACTAGGGAAACTGAGATGTTTCATCACACATCAGTGTCCCTGGGGTCAAGGAGGGTGGCATCTCCTGACTATGAGGGGTATAGGAGCAATGCATGATAGTCTGGCAGGGGCACCCCACCATGCTGGCACCCACCATCTGGGTAGGGCTCAGCCTGTACTGACAAGCAGGATGCTGGCAGGACTTACATGGGTCACCATCGTGTTCTCGGGGAGTTTGGCGATGGGCTGGTGGGTCTCCAGGCTCCTGTTCCCGTTCCCGCTCCCCTGGGGTGGCTCCACCCTGCTCTGGGATCCATGGGCTTCTGCCCTCTCCTCCGGGGCAGCGTGGGAGAGAATAGCAGCTATGCATAGCTCCACTTGGAAGTGCAAAAAGTTATTCCAGGTGTACTTAAAAAACAAGTCCTGAGTAAAACAGAGGACAGAGGAGAGTTCTTAGATCCTCTCTGCACAGCTGAGCCACAGAGGTGAAGGGAATCCTCCCAACCTTGCTCCTGACTTCATGTGCTCCTGCTTCTCTCGGTAACTCTGTGAGGAGCTGTCTTGGCCCTTTGCCCCTCCTGCCTAGGATTGTGTGAGTCCCATTGACCTCTGCTCTTACCCAAATAACTGTCTTCTTTCCATTGTGAGTTTATTATTTTGTCTTTTAAGATTTTTTTAGTTGCATATGGACACGATGCCTTTATTTATTTTTAAATATTTATTTTTCAGTTGTAGGTGGACACAATATCTTTATTTTTATGTGGTGCTGAGGATCAAACCCAGTGTCTCACACATGCTAGGCAAGTGCTCTACCACTGAGCCACAATCACAGTCACTGTTTTGTACTTTTTAGAGGCTTAGCTCATTAATTTCCAGTCTTTCCCAGTGTAAGTCTTTGTAAGTTCCTTGCAAAATCTATCTTTACATTTTTAAAATTTCTTTTATAGCTGTAGATGGACAGAATGCCTTCACTTTATTTATTTTCAGGTGGTGCTGAGGATCAAACCCAGTGTCTCACACATGCTAGGAAAGTGCTCTGCCACTAAGCTACAGCCTCAGCCCCCTATTATTTTTTATTATTTCTCAGATCGAAGAATGTGAAAATTGGGCTGGGGCTGTAGCTCAGTGGCAGAGTGCTTGCCTAGCATGCAGGAGGCATCCTGCATGATGCCATCCTCAGCACCACATGAAAACAAATGAGATGGAGGTATTGTGTCCATCTACAACTAAAAACAAGAATGCGGAAATTTTCTTTCTCTTTTTTTTTTTTTAATATTTATTTTTTAGTTCTCGGCTGACACAACATCTTTGTTTGTACGTGGTGCTGAGGATCGAACCCTGGCCGCACTCATGCCAGGCGAGCGCGCTACCGCTTGAGCCACATCCCCAGCCCCTGGAAATTTTCTTTATGATTCTGTCTTTGGCCCATGAGTCCCTGGAAGCATGCTGAGCTCCCAGGAGAAGCTGCATGAATCTCTCTCCCACCAACTGGACTGAAGCCCACATCCCCATGCCTTAAGGCAGGAGGTTCTGACTTCCTTGAGGTGTCCCTGGGGGACAGAGGGACCTGAGGGCAGCTGCCTTCCCATGTCCCCGTCCCATCTCCCACACACAGTGCTGAGTCTAAGCCCGAGGGCCTCTCTTCTGCCACCACTCCACCTCACACAGGCCACAGTAACCTGTCTCAGCACAGAGGAGGAGGGCGCTGGTGGGGAGAAGGCTGGGTGCAAGTTGTGTTCCAGCCTGAGTGCAGCCCTTTTTCACAGCTGGTGAGGTAGCTGGAGAAGGAGGAAGGAGGCACCACAACCCCCCCAACCCCAATCTCACAGAAGCACAGCCCAGGCCTCAGCTTTACCTTCTTTGCTAGGGTGACCTTGAGCCACCTTAGTGGTGCCTGGCCATGTCGCTTCATCTGCGACAGGAACTCAGACCCAGGGTGGGCCAGGCAGGCCCACATGCAGCTTCACGCAGCTTCTCCTGGGAGCTCAGCATGCTTCCAGGGACTCATCAGCACTACATAAAAATAATTCTACCACAATTTAAGAATTCGCACCAATCCTTAAACTCTTCAAACACTGAAGATTAGTTCTATGGCTGCCCCTTACTTTCTCTGTTCCCAGACAAGGGCACGAAAAGAAAACAATAATATTCCTTATGAATACTGATGCAAGTATTAGCAAACTGAATTAACATTATATTAAAAGAATTAGATACCACAACAAAGCAGGACTCATTCCTGGAATGCAAGGGTGTCTCAACACATGGAAATCAGTATGATATTACAGAATGAGAGCAAAAACCAAATGAGCATCTCAATGCATAAAAAAAGAGTATTTGAAAAAATTCAAACCACTCTTAATTTAAAAAACTCAATAAACCAAGCATAGAAGGAAACTTCCTTAACATAATAAAGGTATCTACAAAAAACGCACAGCTGACAACATACCCAGTGCTGAAAGATGGAAAGCTTCCCTAGATCAGGAAAGAGACAAGGAGACCCACTCACCCTCCACTCAACCCAGTGTTGCAAGTCTTGTCCAGAGCAATTTGGCAAGAAAAGGAAATAGAAGGCATCCAAATTGGAAAAGGAAGTAAAATGACCTCTGTTCCCAAGTGGCATATATAACATATATAACTTTACTTTGTTTATTTTTATGTGGTGCTGAGGATCGAAGTCAGTGCCTCACCTATGCTAGGCGAGTGCTCTACCATTGAGCCACAAGCCACAGCCCCTCAAGTGACATGATCTTATAAGTTTCCACAGAGACTATAAGAACAAACAAATTCAGTCAAGTTGTAGAATTCAAAATCACACAAACCACTTCATTTCTGTATAGCAGTGAAGCAAAGAAAATCACTTCATGTACAACAGCATCGAAAAGAATAAAATCCTTAAGAATAAATTAACCCAATGACAGCAAACACTGAAAACTGCACTGTAGTACACTGAAAACTACAAAACACTGCTAGAAGAATTTAAAGAAGACCTATTTATTATTTCTATATTCTAAAAATTTACTTACAGCACTGGGGATGGAACCCAGTGCCTTGTACATGCTAGGCAAGCGCTCCACCATTGAGCTACCCCCAGCCCCAAAGAAGACCAGTTCAAATCAATGAAAGAGCAACTGTGTTGGTGGATTGGATGAGTTAACACTGTTAAAAAGACAGCACTATCCAAAGTGATCTACAGATTCAATGCAAGCACTCTAAAACTACCAATAGCAATTTTTTTGAGAAATAAAAAAATATTGCAACTCAAGGTACCTAGAAATAGCCAAAACAATCCTGAAAAAAGAACCAATCCATAGGATGTACACGTTCCAATTTCAAAACTTATTCCAAATCTACAATCATCAAGAGTGAGGCCCTAGAGTGAGGACAGAGATTCAGACCAATTAACAGAACACAGAGCCCAGACGCTGGCCTATGTGCAGTCAGTCCACTCTCAACAAGGTTTCCAAGACCAAGGTTCCAAGGTCCTTATCAATGGGATAAGGACAGTTTTCCCAACAAACAGTGCCAGGAAAACTGGATATCCACGTGGTGAAAAATGAAGTTGGAACCTACCTTATCCCATATGCAACAATTAATTCAAAATGGGTCAAAAATCTAACTCTTTGAAGAAAACTTAGAAGAAAATTTCTATAACACTGGATTTGGATATGACACCAAAAGCACAGGTTACAAAAGAAAAAAAAAAAGTAAATTGGATTTTTTCAAAATGTAAAATTTTTGTGTGTTACCACTAAGAGAGTAAAGGAGTTGGGTGTGGTGGCACATAACTGTGATCCCAGCCACTCAGGTGGCTGAGACAGGCCAACGGCAATGTCAGCAAGGTCAAGGCCAGCCTGTGCAGGGCCCTGGGACTTGGAACCACACCTCTTCAGCAGGCCTTTGCTCAGGCGCTGAGCAACTCACTGAGATCCTGCCTCTAGATTAAATACAAAATAGGGTTGGAGATGTGGTCAGTGGTCAAGTGCCCTGAGTTCGATCCCTGGTACCCAAATTAAAAAAAAAAAAAAAAAAAGGAGAAAATATTTGAAAATCATGTCTGATAAAGGATTAATATCCAGAATATATATTCAACTACAAAAAAGGCGAATCACCCAATTAAAAAATGGATGACAGAGAGAGGTGTTGTGGTGCACACCTGTAGTCACAACGACTCAGGAGGGCAAGGCAGGAGGGCAAGGCAGGAGGACTGCGATTCCAAGACCAGCCTGGGCAATTCAGCAAGACCATCTCAAACATAAAAGGACTGGGGATGTAACTAGGGGTAGAATGTTCCTGATTCAACCCCAATACCACATGCACACAAATGGATAAAGTGAAAATAAAAGAAAGACAGGAAAATTATTTTAAAGGAAGGAAAAGGAAGGTGGGTCTTGAATCAACTCCTCTGACTCTGACCAGCTGAATTCTGAGGTGGGCTGGGGGAAGCCCTGGTTCTGGGACTGAGTCTGTAGGAGATTTCAGCTCTCTAGGGTCCACGCCCAGAGCACCCACTTGGTCAGCGCCCTCCCAGTCAGCACCCCCAGGGGCTCTCTGCAGCAGCACTTGGTTGCCACTGCCTGTCCCCCCTCCTTAGACACCCGTGGCACCCCACAGTCCACCTTCTCCTCACAAGAAGAAGAGCGTCTCTTCTGGGACATCTTCTAAGAGCTACGATCATAGTCCTATTTGGTCAAGTCAGAGTATGAGAAGGGAGATGAAGGGACTGGACGCCTGCCCCTGCCATCGGGCAGGTCCATGTGGATGGCGGCTCCCCATGAGCCTGAGGTGGAGGCACATTCCTGCTGCTCAGGAGCTCCACTATGGGCTGGGTCAAGGAACCAGCACCTCTTCAGCAGGACTCCTGCCCTGATGGACCCCACTCTGCTGCCCCCAACCCATCGGCAGGTCCAGCTGCAGGGGACACAGGCACGCACAGGCAGGCAGGCAGGCAGGCAGGCAGAGGAGCCCACTCACCAGCAGCAGGTCCATGGTGCTGAGCCGGCAGAGCTCCTGGTGGATGCTGGGCGTGTCCACGTGCAGCAGAGCGGCCACAAGGCGTGCCCCATGCAGGCGGGCACTGCCCAGGGGCTCCTCCAGGACGCCGACAGTGGTTAGGATCGCCTTCTTCTGTGGATACAGGGCACCACCAGTCAGAGCCTTGTTTTTGTGCTAGGGATGAACCCAGGACCTCTCACACACGCTAGTAAGCAATCTGCCACTGAACTACACTCCAGCCCTTCTTTAAAAACCAAAAGCATGTTCTTAAAATCTCGAGGCAAGTTTCTCAAAGTTGCTCAGGCTTGTCTCCAACTTGCACCCTCCTGCCTCAGCCTCTGAAGCAGCTGGGATTACAGGTGCATGCCACCTAGTCCCGAGATGGCCGGCCACCAGCATGGCTCCTGCCGGCTTCCTTTGGGTCACATGCCAACTGCTCAAAGGCCGGAGCCACTGCTCCATGGTGTGGCTCAGGATAGGAAAGAGTAAGGGGTGTGTGTGTGTGTGTGTGTGTGTGTGTAGGGCCCCTCCGGGGAAGAGCCCACCACTCCTCCAGGCCCATGAAGAGTAAGCAAGGGCTATCGATGGCCGAGCAGCCCAGGGACTCTCATCTGCCAAGCCAAGTGGCATAAGTCAGGGTGTCTGAGAGATGTTCACGACAGGGTGGCAGCTGCAGCCCCATCAGGACGCCTTGCTGTGAATGCCCATGGGTTCGCTAGGGCCACAGCCTCAGGTGCTGACCAAGACACCTGCGAACACTCTCAGAGGAGACGAGGTGGCAGAGCTGCGGGTACTTTGGATGCCCCAGGAAGCCCACGGTGTGCACTGTTGACTTAGCTGAGGAAATGGAACCCCTGCCTCTGCAAAGCTTACTTCAAGTAGTTGAGGAAGGGGAGTCACAGGCAGGCCAGGGAGGGTACTGAGGAAGAGCACTAGGGAAGGGACGGTCGCAGGGCAGGGAGGCAATGGCTGAGGCTGAGGCAGTGAGATCTCTGCCCCTCAGCAGAAGCCTGAGTGAACAAGGGCTCCCCACGACCTGCAGAACCCCCAACCTGGAGGCTCCTGGCAGGAGGAGGTTGTGAGCTCTCCCACTCCGGGGGCCTCCCTGGAGGTGGCAGGGCATCCAGAGATGGGGCCAGGCCTTTGGAAAGCATGTGTCGGGACCTGCCTGGCGAGGTCTGGGGCGAGGTCTGGGGGGGTGCTGTTACAACGCTCACTCTGCTGCTGCCTGTCCCCGTCACTGGGGCCTCTCCTGCATGTCCCCCAGCAGCCGAGCACACTGTACCTTTGGCGGGTGGAGCAGCAGCTGGTGGAAGTCCTTCAGCCGAGGCTCGATGCCATGCAGGACACTGCTGCTGACAGCATGTGGCCTTTCCAGTCCCTGAGAAAAGGAGTCCACCAAGCCCTCTGTCCTGTGGGTGAGGACAGCAGATGGAGCCTCACCGACACCTGTGCCCTGTGCACAGCGACCCAGCCCAGCCATGTTCCGCTCACCCTCTGTCCCCAAAGAGCTTTGTAATTCTCCCAAAAAGAAATCTCAAGAGTTGACCATCAAGACTTCCAGTCAAGATGTTTGACTGGTCCAAAGAGAGGACGAAGGCACCTGGGCCCTCAGGAAATGCTGGCTGATGGCCATGAGACGGAGCTAGGGAGGAAGTACGGGATGCACGGCACTGCTGCCCCTCGACTGGCCACACTGTCTCTTTTCTTCTCCAAGCAAATTTCTAAGGTATTTATCTAAATACCTTTTCTGATGATAAAAGAAATACTTGATCACTACAGAAAAAAAAACTAAATGTATAAAGTATAAAAGCAGAGAGGTGGCTGGCTCTTCTGTGAGCCTGATTTTATACCATCCCCTCCCATCAGATGCAGGGCTGGGCTCAGCCCTCCAAAGAGGCCCAGGATTCTGGATTTGTGAAGATAAATCAATACTCCTACTGTCTTAAGTTGAGAAAACTCTTATAATATCCTAAATTTTGATTTTAGGTAATAAACTAACAGCTACATAGTTAAGAGGTATTGAGGGAGAGACTGCAAAAATCTCACTACAAAGATTAACCAATTTCTTTTCATTTTCCTGTTTTGTTTTTTTTCTACCAGGGATTAAAACTGGGCACTTAAGCACTGAACCACATCCCCAGCACCCCCTTTTTAAAAAAAAAAAACTTTATTCTATTTTACGTGGTGCTGAGGATCGAACCCAGTGCCTCATACATGCCAGGCAAGTGCTCTGCCTCTGAACCACGATCCCACCCCCCCGCCCAAGCCCTTTTTTATACTTTATTTAGAAACAGGGTCTCACTGAGTTGCTTAGGGCCTTGCTACGTTGCTGAGGCAGGCTTTGAACTCGCGACCCTCCAGGGCTGCTGGCAGTACAGGTGTGCCCCACCATGCCGGCTCTCCCTTTCTTTTTAAAAAGGCATAGGCTGTCAGTGCCAGGAATTAATTCAACTCTTCCCAACATGTGGGACTAAGAAAACAGCAGTTGGGCTGGGGTTGTGGCTCAGTGGTAGAGCGCTCGCCTAGCATTCGTGAGGCACAGGGTTCAATCCTCAGCACCTCATAAAAATAAATAAGTAAAATAAAGGTATTGTATCAATCTACTAAAAACAAAGCCAAGCAAAAGAGCAGTCACTTTGGGAGAGCAGACCATGTGCTAGAGCAGAGCAGGGAGAGTGTCCCAAGACCCAGGTCCACAGACGGTGCTCAGGGGCAGGGCAAGTCCAAGAGGGTGGTGCCAGGAACAGCAGCACCTGCTGAGCTGCCTGAGGCTGACAAGCTCTCATCTGAGGCTCACGGGCACCAAAGATGGCCTCCTCTGCCTGGGTGGCTCTGCCAGCACCTGGTCTGCTGGGTCCCATGTGCTCCAAAGAAGTTTCACACATCTCCTGAAATTTCTACCCAGAGTCCTAGAAAGGTTTCAAGCCCCTGAAACCCAAAGGGACTCGACCTTTCACCTAAACTTGCTCTGCTGCCTCCCACCTTGAGCTGGCATTCTCCCGCCCCTGCCTCACCAGGCTGCCGGCAGCTATACTTGAAGACTGCGTGGTGGCCTCCCTCCCCAGAGTCACAGCACAGGGGGGCCTCCATGCAAGTGCCACCTTTCCCCACTCACCCCAGGACGACCCTTGCTGTGAGGGAGTGTCTCTGATACATGGGGCCTCTTGGGGAAAGCTCCCTGACCAGCAGGCTCCACCATCAGCCCATGCTGACTTCTCCTTGAGGACCCCAGGGCCCAAGCTCGCCTGCCTACTGTACTTGGCATAACACATCGCTTCTGTACACAAGCTGAGCTCCGGGGCCAAACTGGGAGCAGTGAAGGAGGAGAGGCCATGCTTCTGTTATGTTTGTCTCCTAGGGCTCTTGTGCTAGCAACATGGTAGGTGCTGAATGTACCTGGTAAATGAAAGAGGTGCAGGACAGCCCCTGAAATCAAGTGTCTGGTTTAACAGATGGCAGACAGATTAGCTGCTGTGTTCATGGGGTTTAGGAAACAAAGACAAATAGAGTCTCCCTGCCCTGGCATGGCAGGTAAATATAAACAAGCAGCTGTGTGTCAGAGTGGAAGCCCTGTGGCAGGTACGCCACACACACACACACACACACACACACACACACACGTGCACACACCCACATGAGCTGTGGGAACTTGTCAGGACGGTCCTGGGAAAACCACATCTATTCTATACACCTCTGCAAACTGGTGGCAATGTGTGCCTTCCAGCTGCAGGGGACATGCCTGATGGTCAGGGTCAAAGAGGACTTGGCCACAGATGTGAAGTTGACCTTTCTGACCAGGGGCCTCTATCCACACTTTCACTTGTGTAGGCAAAAGTTCACAAAACACAAACAGCACAGTGTGACCACTCTGGACAGCCACAGTGGTCACATGGGAGCAGCACACACCACTTCTGGGGGAGAGGCTCACCCTGCCCGCCTGGGCTCCAACAGGGCGAGCAGCACCTGCGTCCCACTGACCAGGCAGCTCTCGGTCTGCTCTCCATCAAACATGTTCTTCAGCAGCTGCTCCACACAGTCCTGCCTGTTGGACACACACGCCATCACTGCCTGTCAGAGCAGGAACAGACACTGCAAGGACACTTCCTTCCCCGAGAGCTCCCACCTCACCCTGACCCAGCAGGGGCCTCACTCTGGCACCGCTCAGAGGAGACAGTGTGCTCCCTGCCTGATCTGGTCGCAGAGGTACACATAAGCAAGCAGCGTGGGCCAGTGGCCCAAGGCTTGCATAGTGCCCCTGCCCACTGGCTCCAGCACTGCTTGGGCCCTCCTCCCTGGGCTTTGAGCCTGAGGTGCTGCATCTGAGCAGGTGGCAGCATTCCTGGTGTTCAGAGTGGGCCCCAAGACATCCCCACAGCTCAGAGCGAGGCCCTCCACACCAGGCCCACCAGCACTCACGATTCCAATGTTGTGAGGAGGGGATCTGGTTCCAGAGCCTCTGGTAGCTGACTGCTCTGGTCTCTGCCCAGCCTGACGATGTCACAGAGTGCCTGAGAAGCATTTGACTGCCTCTGAAAAGACAGGGAAGCAGTCCTCAGCCTAGGACAGCTGCCAGAAACCAGCCCCTGGCCCACTACAGGCACCCCTGATGAGTCGGGCCTTCTCTGAGCCAGGTTTTTGCAAAGACTCACAGACTGTCTGCTGTGCCCATTGTCAAGGTGTAGATCTGGTTAGACTAGGATTTTAGCTGTGCTGAGCCACCCCAGGAATTAAACACAAGCCCCAGATGGCAAATATGCTACACAGATGTCCTTCTACAGCTTTGATCCCTGTTCTGCAATATGCTGAATATATGATGATGTTGATGGTTTTGTACTTTAAGTTTAATGAGCCCCCAACCATCCCTTCCTGGAATTTATGCCCTTGTAAATCTGTCTCCTTGAGTGTGGACTGGACCTGGTCACTCAAGCCTAAAGAGAATGCAGCCAGTGAGGGCTGCTCCTGCTGAGATGAGCTACCCCTCAGCACGAGCCCCTGTGGCACAGAGCTGAGGGAAGGACAGGAGCTGAATGCAACCAAGTCCCTCAGACTATAGACCTGGACCCTGGCGTGGAGCCCCGAGGCAATGGCAGTCTTGTGTGACACCCTGAGCACAGAAGCCACTAGGCGTGGCCAGATCCCTAGCTGCACAAACTAACACTGCTAGAGACAAAAAGTACTTTTGTAGGGGCTGGGCTGTGGCTCAGTGATGGGCACTTGCCTCACACATGTGAGGTACTGGGTTTGATCCTCAGCACTGCATAAAAATATGTAAGTACCGTACCAACTACAACTAAAAAAAATTTAAAGACTACTTTTGCATCACAATTCAGCTTCATATTCGTCATTCAGCCACAGATAACTCTATTCTGTTAAAATTGTTTTTTATAATATATATACATGTATCAGTTTTATTTTTTCAGAGAGCTTAGGACTGGGACAGTTAGACCTCATTAGTCCCTCTGAAATCATGTGTTTTTTTTTTTCCTTTTTGCAGTGCTCCTCATCAAACCCAGAGCCTCATGAATACAAGGCAAGGGCTCTGCTACTGAATTATACTTCTAACAATGTTATATATTGATTTTCAGTAAACAAAACACTGCCTAGACATCAGCACTGATTAAAGGAAGGGAAGAATCTCATTGGTCTCATCAGAGGAAGGGAGTGGCCTGCCAGCTCCAGAGTGGCAGCAGGTGCTCCGACAGCCAGGTGCAGGGCCTTCCTGAGAGAAGCTGGTTCAGAGCCACTCACGTCTTCATCCTGATGCGGATGGATCAGTTCTACGAGTCTCTGGATGATTTTTTCTTCATTAAGCCACTGAAAGGGAAAAATGCCTGTGAACCGCTCTGCTTACATCTAATTAAATGAAAGGGAGGTCCCCAGTGCAGTAAAAACCCAAACACCAGGTCACCTGGGATAGAGACTCTGACCGACACCCTGTTCCCCAGACCCAGGAAGAACCCAAAGAACACCATGCCTCAACTCTGGGAGCGGCCCAGAGTTTAAAGGGTGCACCACCATCTGTCTGTCTTAAGGCCAGCGTGTAGACACCCAGAATGAGCTGCAGCCCTGGAGCCCAGCAAGACATGAAGCCTGAAAAGCACTGGCCTTGCTGCTGGGGTCAGGACAAGCAGCGACGCTGTTGTGACTGCAGGGGTGCAGTGAGGGCGGGCAGTGGGCTGGGTGGCGGTGTGGGCACAGTGCGGCTGGTGCACCTGTCCCTCCCATGCCCTTGGCACCATGTGCCTCAGTCTCCTTGTCTGGAGATGGGATGCTGCCCCTGCAGGGCTGCTCTGCAAACTGAGTGAAGAGACCCGTGGGTGGGGGACAGTGGCAGAGTCACGCAGGCTTCCCAGCAGCTGGCACCAGGGCCAATGTGCATGCTGTGCTCACTGTGTAGGCAGCCTCACAGAGAAGTGAACTACCAGCCTAAAGTGAGGACACCCCACTTGGTGACACCTGATTCCCCAGGACAGAAAAGGGCAAAGCCCCCAAAGCCCACTTTATTTTACTTCAAATATGTAGTATGAACATAGTGTGCCAAACAAGAGCCAACCCAAGTTCCCCTTGGGGCTGGGAAACCCGCTCTTTCCAGGCCGACAGCCCCTTTCATGGTCTGTCCAAACCTGGAGCAGATGATTGGTCTCTGTGGAGCCACCACCAGCTCATGCCTTCCTCATGGATCACCCAGGCTTAGAGCCCACACCTCACTGTGCACCAAAGTCTGGGTGGGCACCTCAGGGGCCAGGCCGAGAGGTGAGGACAGGGCTGGAGGCAAAGAGAGTTCACCTGGTTTCTGTAAACAGCAGGGGCCAGAGAGTGTTGAGGAAGAAGAAACCTGCATGCTCTTTGCTCCTGAATGGGCTGAGATAGGACAAAGTTTCAGGAAGGAGCCCTGATGGTGCTGGGGGGCTGCTGGAGAGCTGGGGGCAAGGCACTTGGCACTGAGAGAGTGGGAGGCGATCCCCCAGGCACTCACATGTAGGACCTCCTGGCGGAGCCCAGCTGGCTCCACACAACTGACCAGGCGTAGCAGCAGATCCATGAGGGCCGAGGTGCCCATGTGCTTCAGCACCAGGCTTATGAACTTGTCCTTCTTCTTCAAGAATGTAATCACCTGAAATCAAGCACATCTAGTAAGCAAGCAGGGCCACCCCTGATGACGAAGGGGTACTTCATCCAAGGACTTTCATGAGAAAGACTAATCTTCAGTTACAGTGTGCATGAGGAGTGTGCTTGGCTGCTATGCACAGCCACGTTGAGGTTTCCTAGAAACAAATGGTGCAGACGTGCTGCCGGGGGAGGAAGGCCACTGTGGAGGAAGGATGGTGGTGCAGAGGAGTGAGGGGGGAGGAAGCCTGGAGTACAAACCCCAGGGAGCAGGAGTGTACAGGAGGACAGCTCCTGCAAGAACCCAGGAGTGGCTGAAGCTTCAGGAAAAAAGAGGTGGGTGGTGACCACTCTCAACAAGACATCAATGTGGATAACAAAATGAGCCTCGGAGCAGGGAAACAGCACCCCAAATGAAGAGGCGGCTGCTCAGGTGCAGATCAGAGCAGCAGAGGAGACATGTGAACTCTGGGCTCACACCTGTCTGCCACGAATCTGCAAACTCAGCCCAGCCAGGTGTAGATAAGGGACATGGGCTGGAGGCTGAGGTAGATCCAGCACTTTGCCCAAAAAGATGGGCACTCGGGGAATCTGACTGTTGCTGAGATGATGCTGTAGTTTGAATATGGTCCCAAACTTCAAATGCTATAAGTTCAATTCCCAAATCAACATATGTTAAGGTATTTGGGGGGAGGTGGCAATAGGACAGTCCCTGTAGGTCACGAACGAGGGGCCAGATGGGGAAGATGGGGGCTGGTTCTGGTTGGAAAGGAAAGGAAATACAGTGTTAATACCTTCAGGACTCTTCCCCGCCTTCAACCAGTTGCCAAGGGCACCTGTCTCTAGGGGACTGTTCCTCCCTGCAAGGAGCTGATACTGAGCAGACCCTTGGGCAGCTCCCCTCCTGCCTGTACCTCTGGGCAGCCTCCTTCTGCCCTGGGATTACTCCACCTTTTGGGTCTTGCAGGCAGGATGGGAGGAAGAGAGGGCTTGAGAACAAAGGAAATCTGAAATGTATAAAAGGGGCAGGACACCCCCACTTCACTGGGACGCCAACTTGGAACCCTTCCTCTCCAGAGGAGCCTCGTCCTTCTCTCTCTCTGTTCTTTTTCTTTGTTTTTTTTTTTTGGTCTTGGGGACTGAACCCAGGGGCACTTAACCACTGAACCACATCCCCAGCCCCATCTCATTTTTATATTTTATTTAGAGACAGGGTCTTGTTGAGTTGCTAAGTGCCTTACTAAGCTGCTGAGGCTGGCTCCGGCCTCAGCCTCCCGAGTCGCTGGGAACACAGGTGTGTACTACCGCGTCCAGCTCTGTTCTTTTTTAATTTTTTTTTTTTTTTTTTGTAGTTGGACAGAATGCCTTTATTCTATTTTTTATTTTTTTATTTTTATGTAGTGCTGAGGTTTGAACTCAGTGCCTCAGGCACACTAGGCAGGCACTCTTCCACTGAACCACAGCCCCTCTGTTCTATTCTTTAAATAAAACTTTTTGCTCTTGCCTTGGCATTTCTCTGGTATTCAATCTTCAACACTAGGGAAATGGGACTCAGATGGTTTCATCCGGAGGTGGGCTTTGGGAGGTGACTGGAATCAGATGAAGTCATGAGGGGTCCATGCTTACACCAGCAGGTTCATGAGGAGAAGAGACTGCTTTGTCTTGCCATGTGGTGCCCTGGGCCTCCTTCGGACTCTGCCCTTCCTGGATGCAGACCCTTGACCTTGAGCCTCCCAGTCTCCAGGAGAAATAAGTCTCCTTATAAATTACCTATGAATATTATTCAGCCATAAAGAAGAATGAAATTATGGCATTTGCTGGTAAACAGATGGATCTGGAGACTATCATGCTAAGTAAAATAAGTCAGACCCGGAAAACCAAGGGCTGAATTATCTCTCTGATATGTGGATGCTGACACACAATAAGATGGGCAGGGCAGATGGAAGCTCAGTGGCTTAGACAGGGGAAATGAAGGGAAGGGAGAGGGGATAGGAATAGGAAAGACAGTAGAATGAATGGGACAGAACTTTACTGTGTTCACATATGAATAACAATCAGTGAAACTCCACATCATGTACAATCACAAGAATGGGATCCTAATTAGAATAAATTTTATTCCATGTGTGTATAATATGTCAAAATACACTTTTTTTCCCACTTGAGTACCAAGGATTGAACTCAAGAGGGCACTTGACCACTGAGCCACATCCCTAGTCCTATTTTGTATTTTATTTAGAAACAGGGTCTCACTGAGTTGCTTAGTTCCTTTTTAAAATTTAATTATTTATTTTTAGTTGTAGATAGACACATGCCTTTATATTTATTTATTTACTTTTATGGGGTGCTGAGGATCGAACCCAGTGCCTCACCTGCACTAGGCGAGTGCTCTATCACTGAGCCACAATCCCAGCCCCAAGCGCCTTGTTTTTGCTGAGGCAGGCTTTGAACTTGTGATCCTCACGCCTCAGTCTCCTGAGCCGCTGGGATTAGAGGCATGTGCCACCACGCCCAGCTGCACAAATAAAAAAAAAATTAAAAATAAAAATAAATAAATTACCCACTTTGTAGCATTCAGTTACAACAACAGAAAAGGGACTCAGACAGATGAGTAAGAAGATGGGAGGAAGACTGAGGGGAAGAACAGAAAAAGGGGAAGATGACGAAGTGAGAGAGGAGGAAGGCATTCTGAAAAGGATGACTAAGTCTCTAGAAAGACCAAGAACAAAACAGAAGATTTAAGTAACAATATCAGGACTGCAACAGGGCCACATTATACATCCTTCGAACAGAGGAATTCTGACGAGTGAATGAGAACAGCTCTAAGCCAATCTGTACAAATTAAGCAGAATGGAGAATTTCCTTTAAGGAGAAAAAACACTTAACTCACATGAAAAAAACCTGAGTTATTCTGGAATACCAAAAGAAACAGAATTTAGGACTAAGGCCACCAGAGCTTCTGGGCTCTCAGAGCCTGGTCAGAGACTTCTACCAAACACCTACAAAGACTCTTGCAGAGAACAGGCGTTGAGGGACCGTGTCCCATAGAATTGTACAATTGTATAAAACCTTCACTCTAAGACGTGATAAAGGCATTGTAAGAAAGGGAAGTTACAGGCCAATCTCACTGATGCCCACAGGTGCAAAATCTAGCAATACAAAAGAAAGAAAAAAATATATCACAGTCCAATTCGGTGTATTCCAGGAACATAATGTAGGTTAACAATAGAAAACTAATTATCATAATTCAACTGTTAATAGAGTAGGGAAATCATAAAGTTGATAGATAAAGTTGACTCAGTAGATAAAGACATTTGATAAATTTTAACAACCATTCATGTTATAAACTTTCAAAAACCTAGAAATGAAGAAAACCTCCTTAAGTTGTTTCTTGTTCTTGTTTTGCTTGGTTTTAGTGCTGGCAACTGAACCCAGGGCCTTGTGCATGCTAATCACAGACTACACTACAGAGCTGAACCTGCAGACCTCTAAGTTGGATTAAAAAACAAAACTAGAGAGCCAGGTATGGTGGTGCACACCTATAATTCCGGCTACTCAGGAAGCTAAGGCAGGAGGATCATGAGCATGAGGACACTTGGGCAATATAGCAAGAACCTGCTACAAAAAAGAAAAACAAAAGAGAAAAGCCCATGAGTGCTCCATGACAAGGACCCTAATGAACTATAAAATGTTGAAAGCTTTTCCTTAGGTAACAAGCAAAACAAGGAGGCCTATTCAATATTGTACTAATGTTCCAGCCAGTGCAATAAGGCAAGAAACAAGTAAAAAAAATATATATATACCATTTGTAAAGGATAAAAGTAATCATTGATAATAAATGACATGATCTTGTATATAACTAAAAAAGACTATAAAAGTAAATTATCAGAATTAATAGTAGTTTTATTGATAATCACCTGCCACAGTCTGGCTGGGCACAAATGCCGCAGTCTGGCTGGGCCACCACACAGCTTGTAGATTCAAACAGCAACTCTTTATTCCCGAACTCACACCAGCCGTCTACAATCACGTTCTGGGGAAATCCACGTTCTCTGCCCAAATCCACCTCCACTGGGCTTCTATCTCCCAAAAAATACTGTCTGAATCCCATGAGAACTCAAGGGGAACTCAGGCAGCAGGATACGCCCTATTCCCAGCAGGAATAATCTTAAACCTTAAACCTGGAACCTAAACCAGGAACGCCCTAAACCCGATTATCTTAAACTGGGAACACCCTAATCCGCCTTGGTCCTTGAGCAAGGTCACCTACATTCAATGTCACTGCAACATGGGGTACGCTGGCAAGGAAATTGTCATACCTACTTGGCTAATGGCTCCCAGCATCTCCCCCCTTCTGATTAATTAAACAACAAGCAATGTGGCTTAAGGACCGTGCCTGGTAGGTTGTCCAATTCAACATATGGTTCTTACCCATCATCGGAAAACTGACCTTTAGGCGTCAGCCTCCTGTCTTAGGTTGATACCACTGCAATTGAATCATACCCGTCACTGACTACTGGTCCAGCATACAGCCATACTTGTGGATAGGTCTATGCACCAGTGGGGGGGTGAGGTTCTTTGCCATCACCAAATATGGAATCAACTTAGGTATCCTTCAACGTGTGCATGGCTAAATAAACTGGTACTGCTATATCATGTAACTCTACACAGCAAGGAAAAGGAACAAACTACGCTGGGCTATGGCTCAGGGGTATAACGTTGCCTACCATGTGCAAAGGCATTGATTAAATCCTCAACACAGAAAACAAAAGAGGGTAGACAAATCATTGATATACACAACAACTTGGATAAATGTACAGGAAATCATGCTGAGGGGAAAAAAAGTGAATACCCAAAGAGTACATATTTCATGATTTGATCTAAATAATATTTTGAAATGACAACATTTAAGAAGGGAATGGGGTGTGGCTGTAAAAGTGCACCACGAAGGACCTGTGGTTTCTGAACTTCCTGTGTCCTGTCTGTGATGGTGGCTGACGAATGCCCGCCCACATGTGACAAGCTGCACAGAACATACACACACACAAAAATGAGTGTAAGTGAGACTTGAGAAATTCAAGTGAATCGGGAATAGCACCAACATCAATCTTGGTTGTGATGCTGAACTAGTGTTTTTCTAAATGCCACCCCAGACAAAAGCTGGTCAAAGCATACAAAGGTTTTCGCCACATTATTTCATACAACTGCATGTGAACCTGCAATTTCTCCATAAAAATCCAATTTAAAAATAACACAGTAATACAAGGATCAACTTCTTAAGAATAAATCTACTGAAAGCTATGCAGAGCCCTCACAGAGGACTGCAATGCATCACAGAGTGACCCAGAAGCCCGGCTCCCCGCTCTTCCATGACTGCAAAGAAGGGCCTTGATGTGTGACCCAGCACGAGGCTGCATCTCATTCAACAAGCAGGTAGCAGGCCATTTTTGGCCTGAGTGCTGTAGCTTACCAGTAAAATTGTAAAGAAATATCTGAAAGTGGCAGAGGATTGTGAGCAGGCAACAGTAAATCACAAGATTCATATTCCAGTTACAGGCGGCAAATGCAGATGCAGGGGTCTTCCCAGGCCTCTAGTGACCACCCTCCAACACTACAAGAACAATCTCAAGATCCCCACCTACAGTACTGCTGCCACCAATGTTCATGGCCTCCCTCTCCCTCCTGCCCAAGGGTACACAAACACAACTCCTATGCTGCTACTCTTCATTTCTACTCTGCTTTACAAACAGATGCTGAAACAGTCCTCCCGGATCTCTCACAAATCTTGGCTTTATGACCTGATATAAGATGACATCCCCCTGAATATTCAAAACATGCCAGCAGAAGGGAAACAAATGACCTTTGTTATGGTTTAGATATGAAGTGTCCCCAAAAAGCTCATGTGTGACTAGAGTTTAGAGGTGAAGTGATGGGTAATGAGAGCCTTAACCCAATCAGTGCATAATACCCTGATGGGGATTACCTGGTGGCAACTGTGGGCAGATAAGCTGTGGCTGGAGGAGGAACTAGGGTATGTTTTATCTGTGGTGGGGGGGAGTGCTCTCTCTCTCTCTCTCTCTCTCTCTCTCTCTCTCTCTCTCTCTCTCTCTCTCTCGGTACTGGGGATTGAACTCAGGGGCACTCGACCACTGAGCCACATCCCCAGCCCTATTTTGTATTTTATTTACAGACAGGGTCTCATGAGTTGCTCAGTGCTGCTGGGATTACAGGCGTGCACCACTGCATCTGGCTCTCTGCTTCTTGGTGCTGTGTCCTCAGCCACTTTCCTCCACCACTCCTCAGCCATGATGTTCTGCCTCACCTAGGGCCCTTAGGAACGGAGTCAGCCATTTGTGGACTGAGACCTTTGAAACCGTAAGCACCAACCAAATAAACTTTTCCTCCTCTATGTTGTTCTTGCCAGTGCTTTCGGTCACAGTACTGAAAAAGCTGACTAAAATAACCTTTCTCAAGGCTCAAGACACAGACACCAAGTATTATTTTACTCCCTGAATGGACACTTGATAATGTTAATTATGGCTAATATTTTGGGGATATGATAATCAAGGGTACCCTTTTTATTTTTAGAAACAGGGTATCTCTAAGTTGCCCAGGTTGGCCTGGAACTCACTATCTTCCTATCTCAGCCTCCTAAGTAGCTGGGATTACAGGTTTGCTCCTTTGCACCCAGATGGGGTCATCTACTAATACGTAAAAGAAAAAAAATTCTTAGAGATACATAATGAAATACTCACAGAAGAAAGGATCTGATATTTGAGATGTGCTTTGAAGTAAACCAGTAGGGATGGGTGAGTGGAGGTGACAGAAAAGAAGACTGGCAAGATGGGTGTCAGGCACAGCCCACCATCAGGCCTCTCCTCCTGGTGTCCACAGAATGAAGGGGCTGAGGCCATGTCAGTTCAGACACAAGGCAGGAGAAGCACCTTACTACAGCTGAAAGATGAACTCCTTCTCCCAGACCTGGACTTCATCTATATCTGTGTTGACTGTGAAGCAGTAGTGCTCCGGATGCCCAGACTCACCACCCACACCAAGCACAGACCCGAGAAGGGGCCAGCCAAGGTTCTGCCACAGTGAAGTCATGGCCCAGGACTCTTGCCTGTGCTCTCAGTGGCAGGATGAACTGGCCTGGGGTGGCAGGGTGTGCCACGTGTTCCAGAGATGGCCATCAGAAGCATATTTGGGAAGCCACCTTCTCCCTTAAACTCTAACTCATGTTCCAGCCACTCACTGTTCCACCTATGTCCCAGTAAGCAGTCAAAATGCTGTCCCTGCAGCCTAGTGACAGTTCACTGGTGACAGCCTGATGATGACTGTCACTGTCCAAAACACATGTGCTTCACACATCATTACCTGTTCAGTTTTCCTTGCAATGAGGTTGCCAATGGTCTTGCTGAAAAAACTGGCCAGCAGAGGGTTGAGTGGCGGCTCCTGGTCCAGGAAGTCGTACAGAAGGCTCAGCAGACTCTCGTCCTCGCCTAGCCTGTCGCTGATCTGTGGCACATCACAAGTCAGAAGCTCACAGGCTGTGTTGGGGTATCTAAAAGGGCACAGTGCAAGCACTGAAGGTGAAATGAGACTTCCCAACTCTCAGGAAGCTGCTTACATAATCTGCTTCTTATGGAACAGACCCATGTGACAAGGACACAGCACTGAGCAGACCTCAGGACAGAATAAAAATAATATTTTTCTGTGAACAACTGGTGTGTATTATATATATATATATATATATATATATATATATTTATTTATTTATCTATCTATCTATCTACTTATTTATTTATTTCAGTACTGGGAATTGAACCAGGGACACGCTACCTTTGAGCCACATCCCCAGCCCTTTTTATTTTTAAATATTTATTTTTTAGTTATAGTTGGACATAATATCTTTATTCCATTCATTCATTTTTATGTGGTGCTGAGGATCGAACCAAGGACCCCACATGTGCTAGGCGAGTACTCTATCACTGAGCCACAATTCCATCCCTTCCCCAGCCCTTTTTACTTTTTATTTTGAGATAGGATCTTGCTAAGGTGCCCAGACTGGCTTGAACTTAAAATCCTCCTCGCTCAGCCTCCGGAGTTGCTGGGGTCACAGGTGTGAACGACCACACCTGGCTCCAGCTGGTCTATTCTGCCTACTAGAAGGATCGGCAGGACCCTCACCCCAGCCCCTCTGGTGGCCTTCATCTTCTGACTCTACTTCATGGCTTGATAGCCTTTCTCCTGCTTCCTCCTTCCACCCCAGGTCTCTTGCCTCCTGTCTAACCACCCTGTTTCAGTGTGACCAAGTCACAAGCACATTTGTCACCCCCTCTCCATCAGAAGCCTGCCTTTCCTCTCCTGCCTATGTCCTTGTCCCTTCATGTCGATAAGCACAGACTGGAGAAATGCCACATCTGCTGTTTATGATACAGTGTAAGTTGTATGGAACTATGTAATCAATTCCTTATTTAGAAATACTAATAACTGAATAATGTACTTTTCATTTGATAAAAATGACTACATATAAAATAATTCTTAGCCCATTATATGTAATCCCATAATGACATCACTATGTTCTCTTGTTAGCATCTGGCAAGCACTGGTCACCTCAGGATGGGCACACCTGCCCAAAAGCACCCCTGAAGGCCTGAAGCTCTGCCTCTCATCCGATGCATCTGGGAATACTGCGGAGTGGAAATAGACTCAGCAGGCCAGACACCAGGGGGGTGTCCTATGGAGCTGAAAGACTGTCCCTATACTGGGCCATTACCTGACTCTGTTATCTGGGGTTTTCTCACCTGCATGTAGAGTGAGGATACATGTCCTCCACGGTTTCTGCAAGGGTGACAGGGGCTAGGGTTTACAGAGCAAGCCACTCCCATGCACAGGAAGCACTTGGTTGAGGTCTGCTGCTATGACCTTCCCTTGCCAAATGTGGTTAATGCCTAAGTCAAGGTGCTTCCAAGGTTGGGGGGGTTGGTGCGTGGACCTGGGCTTGAGAGAATCTAGAGGAAATAACTGGCTAAATGTGGTGACTGTCCATATGTAGAAGGGGAAGAATATGGGGTCTTGGCCGGCCGTGGGCTGGGTGCTCCTCCTCAGCCCCCACAAGAGTGAGCAGCCTTCAGAGCTCTGAGGGGCCTGCCAGTCAGAGGCCCAGCAGTAGGGAGCTAAAAAGCTGGTCTGGGGACCAGAGAGAAGTGTGAACAGTGAGTGCTGCAGGCACATGGGCTAGGTGTGTGGAGAGGGTCCTGAGGGCTGGGTCAGCGTGGGTTCCTCCTCACTGGCTGAGTTCTGTCTGTGAAATGGAGCAGCCAGTGTTCACCTCATGGGCTGTTTAAGACTGGACAGGGGACAACACAGGGCCACTGAGGGCAGAGGGGCCAGAGAGCTGGGTGGCAGCACTGCAGGCTCTGTCTGCCAGGTCTCTGAACAACAGCCTAATGAGTTCTTCCCAGGCAGTGGGGACCACGCAGACCCCACAGGATGAGGAACCAGGAAAAGCACAGACCATGTCCTGTGGTTCCCAGAGGCCAGGGAAAGACTGGATCTCACCCACACCCATCAGAGGAGCTAGAAGAAGCTGCTTTCCTGAGGTCATGTCTGTGGGGAAGACTTAAGACTGTCTCCTTCCCCCCTTTATCTGTGTGTTATAATCACAGGAAGTGCTTTAGTAGTTTCTGAAGTTCATATCAGGGGACCAGGGAGATGGCGGAGTAGAGAAGGCTGCTTTCCAGGCAGCTCTGTGGTGTGAGGCCCAAGGTGGAGGACAGACAAATGACCCCTGTCCCCACCAAAATGCTAATGCAGCCATCACCACTGTGGAGGATAAGGCAGACACCTGCTCCTGCCAGAGCTGCTCCTCGGTTATTGTCCTCCCTGCTGACAACTGTAAACCCACCATTCTTGTTTACTGTGTCAATTAATGTTGCAGACACCATAGTAGGATCTGGGTATTGTACTTTAACACTGTTTACTGTTTGTTGTTGCAACAGTTGTTACTATTGTTTATTTTGCCCCCAATTCTGTGAAGTACTGGGAAGCTACAGGGACACAAAAAAGTTCATAGGTTAAGAGATTTGGCTGCAAAACTAAACATTCCCTCACATTACTCCAACTCAAAGAAGAGGAGACAAAAAGCCCCAAACGAGAACCCAAGGAGGAACAACCAGAGAGGGAACTCAGACCCTAATCCTTGGTATCTACTCACACATCAAAAACAGAGAGAAGTCCCAGAACAAGAGACAACTACATACAAAAGGGCACGCACAAAAAAGGAGGCAGAGGAATCCACTTCAACTGATGCTCAAGACCAAGACCTCTAAAAACATGAGAAAACAGGCAAAGCCACATCCCCCAGCAAAGGAGCCCACCGATAGATAGGTGGATGAAATTCCAGAGGAAGATTATAAAAAACTTATTAATGAAAAAATGTTCAATGAACCGAAAAAAGATCTAAGGAAGGAATCAAGACAGCAACTGTAGGATATAAAAGACCATTTTAATGAAGAAACAGAAATCGTGAAAAGAAATCAAGGGGAATTCCTAGAAATCAAAGATAAATCAATCAAATTACAAACTCACTGGAAGGCATCACTAAAAGACTAGACTGTGTTGAAAATAGAATCTCACCTTTGAAGTCAGAATTCAGGCCCTGAAGACGGGCTACATGATCTTAAGTACACAGAAGGTAATAAAGGGGAAAAATTATAGAACATGACCAGAATATACAAGAACTCTGGGACAACTTTAAAAGACCAAACCTGAGAATCATTGAAATAGAAGTGAACATGGAGATACAAACTAAAGGCATAAAGAATATTTTCAATGAGATAGAGAAAACTTCTCCCCTATCAGAAATGAGACAGACGTCTACATACAGGAGGTTTACAGGACCCCAAATAGACCAAGCCAAATGAGAACCTTGCCAAGATATATCATAATCAAAATGCCTAACATAGAAGATGAGGAAAGAATACTAAAAGCCTCAAGGGAGAAACATCAGGTCACATTGACAGGCAAACCAATAAGGTTCACTTCTGATTTCTCTGCTTAGACCCTAAAATCAAGGAGGGCCTAGAATGAGATACTCTAAGCCCTAAAAGGAAATAACTGTCAGCCAAGGTTACTATGCCCAGCAAAACTCAGTTTCAAATTCAAGAGGGAAATAAAAACATTTCACAGCAAGAATAAACTAAAAGAAGGCCGAGGTGGTAGAGCAGTTGCCTAGCATGCGTGAGGCACTGGCAAATCCCCATCAAACTATCAATGACATTCTTCACGGGATTAGGAAAATCAGTCCTAGTTTTTCCTGAGGGAGCAGCTGGGTCGAGAGGAATGTGGCCCTCTCCTCTTCCAACATGGCGTGTACTTGACCCCTTTCTGTGTTCTCTGAAAAGGGGGAGTCATCTGGCAAAAATGTCACTTTGTCTCCAATTCGACCAGATATTTTAAACTTTGTTCACACCAACTTGCATAAAAACAACAGGCAGCCCAATTCTATCAGTGAATTAGCAGGTCATCAGACAATGCCGAGTCTTAGAGTACTGGCAGAGCTGTGGCTCGAATTTCCAGAGTTGGAGGCGGTGAGACCCATCGTTGTAGCCAGAGTGCCTTTGGATATATGTGTAGAGGAGGCCCCACATGTGTACCAACCAAAACATGGCATCACTGGCACCATGGAGTGAACACAACCCCAAAGCAATATGCCATCTGCTCTGCCTTGGCTGCCTCAGCCTTAGTAGCACTGGTCATGTCTAAAGGTCATTTCTGGTATTTATCCAAAAGATCTAAAATCAGCATACTATAGTGACACAGCCACCTCCATGTTTATAGCAACACAATTCACAATAGTTAAATTATGGAACCAGTCCAGATGCCTATCAATAGATGAATGGATTAAGACATTGTGATACACACACACATACAAAATGGAGTTCTGCTCAGCCGAAAAGAAGAATGAAATTATGGCATTTACCAGTAAATGGACGGAAATGGAGAATATGCTAATGAAATAAACCAAACTCAGAAACTCAAAGGTGGGATGTTTTCTCTCATATGTGGAAGCTAGAAGAAAAATGAAGGAGAAGGAGAAGGAGGATAAGACAACCTAAAGAACAGATCAAATACAAATTAATAGATGAATGAAAGAAAGTCTAGTAGAATAGAGGGAGGAGAAGGGGTGAGGGGAGGAGAATGGGAGGGAAAGGGGGATCAGGAATTGAATAGATTTCCATGCATGTTTGTGCTTGTCAGAATGAGTCCTAATACTACGTATAACCATAAAGCTCTAATAAGAAAAAAATTTATAAAAGGAATAGGATAAACAAGGCAGACAGAGCACAGAGTCTAGGTAATATTCCCTCTCAAACTCCTACTCAAAAATGCAAATGATTAAAAAGAGAAGTAGAAATGACACTGGACTAAGAAGATAGAGAGTAGCCGGCCAAGCCCAGGGAAGACAGAGCACAAGGTGCCCAGAGGGAGGTATCAACTGGAGTGAGGGTCCAAGCCATCCGGCTCCAGAGGCCTAACCAATAAAGGAGAGGCTGGTGAAGGCAAGTGGGATGGGAACCATCAGAGCAGGCACTGCCGGGTCCACAGACCTGGGGAGAAGTCAACAGCTGAGCTCCTGATTCAGTGATGCCAGGCACATCAGAGAGGAGTGACATGATGCAGTCCAGGAACAGGGAACTTTGTGAAAACAGCATGGGTGCCCCTAGGCCCTCCTTCTGGGTCAGCACCCAGGATGCTAACAAGCCTATATCCCACCAGGAAGAGAGAAAATGACAGAACAAAGAGAAAAAATCAACTAGCTGTCATCTAACCAAAAAGCTGGCTCATTTTACCTGTGGAGAAGCATGCAGTGAGCAAGCCCCACCCAGACCCCAAACTCTGCACAGGCATCAGGGCCTCGTGCCTGAAAGGACACTGCTGACAGATAGAAGACCAGGCACATGGAGGAGAGAGTCCTGAGTCCAGAGAAAACTTCAGAAATCACAGTGTTCTATGATAATATGATACTCTAGACAGTGTGCAGAATTGGGAACAAGAACTGGGAACTTCCATTAAGATATCTGAGACTCACACACAAAGCCACATGCAGGCTAAGGTGGGAGGATCACTGCAGCCTAGGATTTCAAGACCAGACTGGGCAATGGAGTGAGATACTGTCCAAAAAAAAATCTGAGAGTAAGAAAAGGCTCTTAGAAATTAAAAATATAGGAGCTAGGGATGTGGCTCAGGTGGTAGACCGCTCGTCTAGCGTGCATGAGGCCCTGGGTTCAATCCTCAGCACCACATAAAAATAAAAATATTGTATCCACCTAAAACTAAAAAATATTTTTTTTTTTTAAAAAAGAAAAGAAATTAAAAACATGGCCAAGTACGGCAATGCATGCCTGTAGCCCAGCAGCTGGGGAGGCTGAAGCAGGAGGATTGCAAGTTCAAAGATAGCCTCAGCAAGTTAGTGAGGCCCAGCAAGTGTCACTCAGTGAGACCCTGTCTCTAAATAAAATATAAAAAGCGCTAGGATGTGGTTCAGTGGTTAAGCACCTCTGGATTCAATCCCTATTACAAAAAAAAAAGAAAAAAGAAAGAAAAGAAATTAAAAATATGATGGCAGAAATTTCAAAAGTCAGTAAAAAGATGGTAACTTAAAAGTCAAACCTCTCATATAAAAAGGCAAAGATAAAACATTAAGAACAAAAGTAAGAGAAAGGCGCTGGTTGAGTGCTTGCCTAGCATGTGTGAGGCACCACATTTAAATAAATAAATAAAGGTCCATCAACAACTGAAAAAAAAGGTAAGAGAAAGTATTAATTCAGGTGATCTAATGTTAAAGTAGATGTTGCAAGAAGTCAGAAGAAAAACTGGAGGAGAGAAGATTGTCCAAGAAATAATACAAGAAATTTAGGCCGGTTGCAGTGTGGCATATGCCTGTAATCCCAGCGGCTCAGGAGGCTGAGGCAGGAGGATCATGAGTTCAGAGCCAGCCTCAGCAACTTAGCAAGGCCCTAAGCAATTTAGCAATGCCTGGTCTCGAAAGAAAAGCGGGGCTGGGACGTGGCTCAGTGGTTAAGCACCCCTGGGTTCAATCCCTTATACCAAAAAAAAAAAAAAAGAAAGAATATGAAAAATTTCTCTGAGCTAAGATCCACATATTTACAGACTGAAAGGTCCATGGAGTGCCTAACACAAGACGGGTAAGGAGTGCCCTGGCACCCACATGGTGGGTGCCTGGGTGCTGCTCACCACTGGTTCCACCTACGACTGAGCTTCCCCCAGAGCCTCAAGTTTTCTCCTTGCTGTTTAGCATTCATTACTCATTTCTCTCAACTGACTGTAGCTCTCCCGCCTCACGGACGCCACCCTGGATCCCCTGTCCTGACTCACAAGATCCAGGTCATACTTCTCATGAACTGTCACTTTGTTCCAATGTGCCACAAACTGAAAGACATTTGGGAGTAAGAGGGCTAAAGGGCCTATAAGTGGTGATGCTGCGACCACAGTGGCCTCCAGATATGGTCATGCTATCCCCAAGCCCCCGGCCCCTCCACAAGCAAGCCCCAGATCTTTCTAGAACACCATGTGGCTCTCCTTGTCGGTGAGGACCTGTCTGACCATGGTGAATGCCGTCCTGACAGCCCACCAGGCCACCCTGTCACCCATCCTGCCCTATTTTCCTCCTGAGACCAGAGATCAGCAGACCACTGTGAAGGGCCAGATGGCAAATATTTCTGACAGCCTCTATTGAAACTGAACTCTGCGTTGTGTATGGACAAGCATGGCGTGTCCAGCAAGACTCTACTGGTGTATTCACCTTTATTTATTTTTTCACTCATGTAATAACGTAAAAGCCTTCTTGGTTCACAGGCCACACAAAAGCAGAGCTGTAGTTTGCTGGCCCTGTTCTAAAGCTTTACCATGCATGTATTTCACCCTTCCTCATAAGCCTGGACCTGGTGCCTATGGTCACTCATCCAATCTTGGGGGACGCTGGGGACAATGCAGGCCACATGGGCTCTTCATGGAGCGGTATGCATACAGCCTATAGTCTGGGCCTGTGGTGAGGAAGCCCTCCTGCTGCCTGGGGTGTTCCCTCAGTGCATAAGTCTTCACTCAAAGCTTAACCATCTTGCCACATTGCCTCTATCTTCTCTGTCATTTCCTAACATTGTGGCCAAATACTGAATGGCACATTTAAAGAAAAACTTTGGGAATTGTTAATACCACGAATGATAACAATGTATTTCCTCCAAGTTGAAGATCCCCTTCCTGGAGTTCAGGAGTCAGACCACATGTTGCTGCAGCCCCGCCTTTGGCCCACTGCTGGTGGTGTGGCTCACACTGCAATCCATCTGCCTCTCTGTCGTAGAATCATTCTTTCCCCTCCCCTAACATACTGTGAATCAAAGTGCTCCAACACGTACCAACCTAATATAAAGTTACTTAACAGGTTCCAACTTAAACTCAGGATGAGAAAACACACTAGAGATTCCAAACTCAAACTCAGCAGAGGCCTTCTCACTTCTCAGATGGGGTTAAGTTTTCCTTTGGGGAAAAGACCCCCAAAGGTTCTGTGCTAAAGGCTTGGTGACCATCCTCCATTTCCATCAAAAAACTCTGGTTCTGGCTGTCCTCAGACACTGCCCACGGCCTCCCCGAGCACTGCTCAGTGTAGGACCTGTCAGCCTCAGTACATACTTGAAGCGGACCTTCTCTTCCATGTCCAGAGGTGGGTCCTGCGTGATGAGGCTCACCAGCTCCTCCATACACTGTGGCCTGCACAGGAAGTCCAGAAGCTTCCTGTTCTGAGCCTTACATTCCTGCAGGATGTCGTCTTCATCCATCAGCTCCTGCAGCGTCACCTGCTCCCTGTCCAGCAGCTTGTCGACATGGGACGTGGTATTCAAGTCAAACTTCCAGAACATCGTGACGGCCACAGAGCTGTAGGCAAGCACAAGAGGGTCACTCACTCCTCCCCACTCTGTGAATCTGCCCTTTGCCACTGTTAACAGTTTGGATCAGAAAAGTCCCCCAAAGGTTCTGTGCTAAAGGCTTGGTGACCAGCCTGCAGAGTTACCGGGAGGTGGTGCCTACTTGGAAGTAGGCCACTGAGCTGGTGTCTTTGAAGGGTGTCTTTTATCCCTATCCCCTTCTTCTCTTCCCATCCTTCTCTGCTTTCCTGGCTGCCAAGGGGTGAGGAGCTCTGCTCCACCACACACTCCCCACCACAAAGCTCTTCTCACCACAGGCCTAAAAGTAATGGAGCCAGCCAACCACAATCAGAAACCTCCAAAACCATGAGTCAAAATAATATTTTTCTTCCATTAAGTTGATTTCTGTCAGGTATTTTACCAAGCAGACTAACAAAGCTGCACTATAGCAAAAGTCCAATAAGTCCATCCTCAACATAAGCACATGTAAGTACTGGGACTCAGGATAAGGGCATAGGTACTCTCCAGTCACTGCTCTTATCAGACCTGTGCAGGTTGCACTCACAGTCACAAGCATCCTCGAGCTCTGGGGCCCAACTCTCCAGGCTCGCCCGACCGATTCACCTTCCTTGTTCTATGCACCCTCGTCTCCTCCAGTCCCACCCACAGCATTCAACATATCCCTTGCTGGCTCCTTGGCTCCATGAGACCAACACCTCCAGAAATGGACCTTCAGGGATGCCTCTCCATCCTGAGAAAATTTAACAACTCAGCATAAACCCAGTTCCAGTGCTCAGCCCGCTCCTGAGGGAAGAGCAAACACACCCTGGAAGCCTCACAGAGCTCAGCCTCAGCAAGTCCAGGCAGCTGGCTTTGCTTGACCTTGCCCTCTGCTGCCACTCACCACCACCTGTCCCTTTGCACTGTCCTCATCTTTTTTTTGTATGTGTGTACCCAGGGACTGAACTCAGGGCACTCAACCACTGAGCCACATCCCCAGCTCTATTTTATATTATATTTGGAGACAGGGTCTCATGGAGTTGTTCAGTGTCTTGCCTAAGGCTGGCTTTGAACTCAAGATCCTTCTGCCTTAGTGTCCCAAGAAGCTGGGATTACAGGCATGTAGCACTGTGCCCGGCTTCCCATTTGCTGAATAATAGCCAGGGTTACCCATGAGGCTGCCACATGCCTCACATGCACAGCAACTGGGCATGGGGTGGCAGGGGACCCTGCCACAATGACCTGAAGATCACTGTAACATGGCCCTCCTCTGCCTGCCAACACTTCTGGCTCTCATCATCCTGCCTGCCAGTGGGTGTCACTGTCAAGTCTGTGGCCCAAGGTGGGTTAGCAAGACAGCTTTCACTATTCTGACACAAAAAGAAAACAGAAGCCTACATCTGTTAACAAAGTTAAAAGTTTATTTTGAAATTACGAATCTTTTCAAAGTTACAAGTTATTTACAAAGTTATGGTAATATCAAATAGGATTTATTTATCTAACATTTATACTTAGAAAATAAAAGAGGGACTGCAGGATATAAACGCCTATTAGTGTGCAAAGCCTGTGAGACCCTAGGAGCGCCACCACAGAAGCCTCTGCATCCAGCTTCATCCTAACAGCCTCTGTTACCATCACATTCATGTCCTCTCATATCAGCTTCAAAGCCAGCACTGATCCCAGTGGCCACCACACACCAATGGCTCTTGGTCCTCAGGCACTCTCCAGGTCTGCTAGAATAGCACCTTACCTATCACGCAGATTGCACTTAGGTTTTGGCTTCTGCAGCACTGTGCCCATGCATGCTGCTGAGGTAGGTGCTGCTCTTGCACTCTTTATCAAGAGTCCAAAGTGGAGCAGGGCACCATGGTGCACCCCTGTAATCCCAGCAGCTTGGGAGGCTGAGGCTGAGGATCACAAGTTCAAAGTCAGCCTCAGCAACTTAGTGAGGCCCTGTCTCTAAAGGGCTGGGGATGTAGTTCAATGGTAGAGTGCCCCTGGGCTCAATCCCTGGTACAAAAAAAATAAAGTGTCCAAAGTGGAGCTGTTTGATTTGCAAGACAAGGTATTGTTTCCTTCTGGGTCCCAAGACTTTTCTTACTCCTCTGTGAGGAATGTAGATGCAACAACTCTGGAGGACCAGCAACAGAGGCCAGGGAAGACGGCTATCTTCACACACAGGGGCTGAATGCCCCTCTCTTTATTTTTCCAAAAAGGAGACACTTTACTGCTAGGTCGCTGGCAAAGAGAACAGGAGCAAAAGCTCAAATCCCAGTGTGGTTGGTAGCAGGGAAATCCACAGGAAGGAAGAGGAGAGAACTGCCTCTTGACTGGACAGTGAGCAGTTTTCAGGGTTCCTTTGTACAGGTGCCAAGAGCCCCACACGTCTTCACAAGCTGGATTTTTCCCTATGAGTTGTCATCTTCTGCATAGGGGATTTTGAGCTTGTGACATCAAAAGGTGATCAACCAAAAGGATGAGCTGGCTTCTTCTGAGCAGGTCCACTTCTGAAAGGCTGTTTCAAACCATTCTTGGATGGATTTGGAGGCTTTACAATTTCAGAGGTTTGGTCCGTGGTGGGTAGGCCCCCTTGCCCTAGAACACCATACCCCCTGCCACGGTGAGGTGGAACACCATGGCAGAGGGTATGGTGGAGGAAGCTGCCAGCGCATGGCAGCCAGGAAGCAGAGAGCAAGCTGACCCTTCCTCTTAATGCCCAACAGGATGACTCAAATGCCCAGGTGACACAGAATCAGGGAAAGAGGGGGCCCCATCGGTAAAGTGCCTCTGGGTCCAATCCCCAGTACCTCCTGCCCCGCAAAGGAAGAAATTCCAATAAGGTTTAGTACAAAAAAAAAATACTTTATTTTTTAATGCTATCTTATAGGTTTTTCCATATTATTTATTTATTTTTAGTTGTAGTTGGACACAATATCTTTATTTTATTTATTTTTATGTGGTGCTGAGGATTGAATCCAGGGCCTTGCACGTGCTAGGCGAGTGCTCTACCGCTGAGCCACAATTCCAGCCCGGTTTTTCCCTAGTTTTATCAGTGCATTATAATTATACATCATAGTGGGATTGTTCCACACTCGTCTGTGCACATAGCATGGCCATGTCATTTGATTGACAGTGTTCTCCAGCTTTCCCCCTTCCTTCCCCTCAGTCCTTTCCCTCTATCTACTAGTCTCACTTCTATTTTCATGAGATGCCCACCCCACTTTTTTTTTCCTTTTTCTTTTTCCTTACTTCCACATGATAGAAAACATAAACTCCTGAGTTTTGAATTTGGCTTCCTTTTACTTAGCATAATGCTCTCAAGTTCCATCCATTTTCCAGCAAATGACATAATTTCATTTTCCTTTATGGCTGAATAAAACTCCACTGTGTACATGCCATATTATCTCTATTTGTTAAGGGACCCTGGGCTGCTTCCACAGTTTGGCTATTGTGAATTGGCTGCTATAAACAGGATGTGCACATATCACTGTCGCATGCTGATTTTAATTCTTTAGGATAATACCAAGGAGTGTCGAGCTGGGTCTTTTGGGGAACCTCATTGCTGATTTCCATAGGAGTTCAATACTAATTTACAATAGCACAAACAGTGTGAAAGTGTTCCTCTTCCCCACATCCTCCAGCATTTATTATTGTTTACTTTCCCCGTGGTTGCCATTCTAACTAAATTGAGAAGAAACAGTATAGTTTTTTTAAAAAATATTTTTAGTCGTAGATGGACACAACACCTTTATTTATTTATTTTTTTATCTGGTACTAAGGATCAAACCCAGTGCCTCACACATACATATATTTGTTGTTCATTTGCATTTCTTCTTTTGAGAAGTGTCTGGTTAGTTCATTTGCCCATTTACTGATTATGTTATCTGGTGTTTTTTTGGTTTTTTTCCCCCTTCGGTGTTAAGTCTTTTGAGTTCTTTATATATTCTGGATATTAATTCTGTCAGAAGAGCAGCTGGCAAAGATCTTCTCATTCTCTAGGTTCGCTCTTCACACACTTGCTTTCTTTGTTGTGCAGAAGCCTTTTAACTTGATGCCACCCCATTATTTCTTATGCACTAGGAATTCTATTGGGGAAGTCACTGCCTGTGCCTATATGCTGAGTGTTGACCCTACATTTTTCTTCTAGAACTTCCATAGTTCTTAGTCAAATTCCAAGGTCTTTGATTCACTTTGAGTTGATTTTTGTGCAGGGTAAGAGAGAGGAATCTAGTCTCATTCTTCTACATGTGGATGACTACTTTCCCCAGCACCATTTGTTTAAAAGGCTCTTTTCTCTGACATGTTTTTGGTGCTTTTGTCAAGGACCAGAAGACTGTTGCTGTGTGGGTTGGTCTCTGTCTTCTATTATGCTCCATTGGTCTGTGTCAGTTTTTTATTTTATTTTTTTTAAGTTGTAGATGTACACAATACATTTATTTTATTTATTTACTTATATGTGGTGCTGAGGATCAAACCCAGTGCCTCACACGTGCAAGACAAGTGCTCTACTACTGAGTCACAACCTCAGCCCTAGCTCTGTAATATAATTTGAAGGCATTATGATGATTCCAGTATTGCTTTTTTTTTTTTTTTTCTTGCTTACATTGCTTTAGTTATTCTGGGTCTTTTATTCTTCTAAATTAATTTTAGGACTGTGTTTTCTATTTCTGTAAAGAATGTCTCTGGTGCCAGGCATGGTGGTGCATGCCTATAATCCCAGCAACTTGGGAAGTTGAGGAAGGCGGATCTCAAGTTTGAGGCCAGCCTCCTCAACTTAGTGAGACCCTAAGCAACTTAGTGAGAACATCTCAAAATAAAATATAAAAAGTGCTGGGGATGTGGCTCAGTGGCAAACTGACCCTGGGGTTCAATCCCCAGTCCCCCCCCCAAAAAGAATGCAGCTGGTATTTTTTTTTATTAGTTGTTGATAGACATTTATTTTACTTATTTATTTATGTGTGGTTCTGAGAATTGAACCCAGTGCCTCACACATGCTAGGCGAGTGCTCTA